GGTATCAAGACCAATGAATTGCTTTTTTGGTTGCGTGTCTCTTTGCGCAGGTTGCATCCGCTGTCACAAACCTCGACCTTTGGATCTTGCGCCTCAGCACGGACGCACAACATCGCAACAGGCGCTTCAAGGGACTTTGTTGCTCAGCAAATTCCACCACATCTCCGCGCAACACAGACTCGTGCCACCCCTCCGCAACACAGGTCCGTATATTTTCTGATTTCGGACAGGATTCTGCGCCTGTTTGGAAAAAGTTTCATTTGATCTTTGGTGTTTTTCGGTTTCAAATGTTAGAAGTGCTTTTGAATCAGGTTAGTGACCGCACTCGTTTTGTCTCGTTTCGTTTTGCTTCGAATGTTTTCAGCTCAAATGAAAGATGCACATTCTGTTTTTCTTGGAAGCGGACTTCGGCCTCGCCTGTGCAAGGTAGAAGTTGAGAGTTCTTCTGGAAGGCACCTGTGCCAAGAAAGCATCAAAGTTACCTGTTTGGACCAGATCCTACTTGTCCGAAAAGTCCGCCTGCAGCTCAAAGGTGGAAGTGTTCTGGCTGCTGTGTCTGGAACACCTGTTCGGCCATTAGTACCGCCGATGTCCACTTTGGGTGCGGACCAACTGCAGCACACGCGGCTCCAATTGTGGGGTCGAACAAGCTAAGCAATTTGGCTTCGCTTGAGTGGCCCCCCTCTGTAGACTATGTTTTTCGATCTTGATAGCACTGGGTTGATAGACCAGAAGGCTGCTGCTGGGAAAGCTGCCTTGGGGTAGCGCAGCGGAGCTTGTAGGTTTGCTTGAGGAGAAATTCGCGGATTACTTGGAGAAGTGGGTCTTGCAGAAGAAAGGCTTGTGGTGGAGCGCAGATTGGCAGAGTGGTCTCGGTCAAGTGTGCCCGGGTTACGGTACTTATGTGTCGAATTCCCAAGAGCGGGCTTGGCGTTCGATCAAAGGTCTTTTCAAGAAAGGCTTCCGACACCAGGATGTCAGCCAATTGGTGCGTGAAACAGCAGTGACCCTGCAGACTCTGGTGCGCGGAGGACAGTATGCCAAAGCATGCTTTCAATTCGAGGAGCCTCCTGAGTCACTTGCGTACAGTGCGAAAAGGTTAAAGTCCGAGCAAGATGATGAAGGAATCCAATCCCACCGGCTCACATTGGACTTGATGCAGCAGTGGCGAGATAAGGAAGGCATGCGGCATGTGTTGTGTTCCCAAAAGCAGTGTTGGTGCTTGGTTAAAACAGTGAAGTAGTGTATGCTGCAAGGTGACGCAAACACCTTTCTCAAGTACGAGAGTGCGGGCCGCATCAGGGTAGACTGTCGGACGGTGGACATTACTTCAGTCATCGTTATGCCAAAGTACAAACTGGAGTATGCCAAGAACAAGAAAACGGACATGGTGCAGCGGTTGGACTTGGCACTTTGTTCTTTGTATGAAGATGGTGAAGCTGCTTTTCGCACTGCTTTGGGAAACCCAAGGCAGTGGTCCTTTTCCATGCATAAAAAATTGTTCTACAAGTACACTGTGATGTATGTGCTTAGCACGGGCCGTGTCGTGGATGAACATCCACATTTTGTGCACAGTAGCTGCAGCGAGCAGGCTTTCTTTTACAAATCCGTGTTAGGCGGCTTGAATCTCCACCCCATTGCAAGGGGCCCCAAGACTCTCAAAGCCAGGCGTCCACGGCGGGACAGGCGAACCGAGGAGTTTCGCAAAAAAATGCGTACTCCTTCGCCTTGATCCTACCACAGCTGACTCCCGCTTCGCGGCCCGCGCAAAAGATGTTCCACCTGCGCCTGCTTGAAGAACAGATCGGTCCGAAAGTGTCTGTTCGGAGCCGATTGTTTTGTGTGTTGAATGAATTTGGACATGTGCTTTGACGGATAGGAGAAAGTGCGGAATTTGATACCCTAGTTTACGGCTGCGGGATGATTTGGAACGCTGTTTTATTGGGCTGGGTCAATGTCGTAAGTACTTGGATGGCGCTTTGCGGCGAGATCAACTCGGAAAGCAGTCAGATGTTTTTATTTTGATGCAATGAAAAGTCAGATGGTTTTATTTCGGTGCAAGCAGAAGCTGCGGAATGCCAAGGCGTGAGTGCCTGAAGCCTTCGTTTGTCCCACGGCCTTGTGGTGCCTTGTAGTGAACATTGTAGTGCTTTCATGTCGCATGCGGAAGTTTGCCAACGAAGTTGTTTTCACGCTTGTAATAAGTACTTGGATGGCGCTTTGCGGCGAGATCAACTCGGAAAGCAGTCAGATGTTTTTATTTTGATGCAATGAAAAGTCAGATGGTTTTATTTCGGTGCAAGCAGAAGCTGCGGAATGCCAAGGCGTGAGTGCCTGAAGCCTTCGTTTGTCCCACGGCCTTGTAGTGCCTTGTAGTGGGTTTTGAATATTGGGTTTAGGTTTCGGGTTTTGAATTTATGGTTTAGGTTTCGGGTTTTGAATATAGGGTTTAAGTTTCGGGTTTTGAATATAGGGTTTAGGTTTCGGGTTTTGAGTATAGGGTTTAGGTTTGGGGTTTTGAATCTAGGGATTAGGTTTAGCGTTTAGGTTTAAGGTTTTGAATTGAGGGTTTAGGTTTAGGGTTTAGGTCTAAGGTTTTGAATTCAGGGTTTAGGGTTTAGGTCTCAGGTTTTGAATTTAGGGTTTAGGTTTAGGGTTTAGGTTTAAGGTTTTGAATTTAGGGTTTAGGTGAAGGGTTTAGGTTTAAGGTTTTGAATTTAGGGTTTAGTTGAAGGGTTTAGGTTTAGGGAATTGAATTTAGGGTTTAGGGCTTAGGGCAGGCCCAGGCAAACGCTCACCTGTGCAGGCAAGCGTCGCGCAGAGGCGGGAGCTGCGGCCACTCACCTGTGCAGGCAAGCGCTGCCACCAGCAGATCCGCGCGTTATTCTTGGCATACACGCAGCCCGCTCTACTGCCCAGATCCAACACGGTTCATGAAGAGAGCTGATGACTGCCATTGCGCGGCTCAGTCATTGGGAAGCGAGGCACCTGAGTGAAGATGAGATGGACTTTACGCAATTTTGGCCGAACGATCGCTGCTGGCTAAGTCTGAAGTCGCGGTTTCACCGTCTTAACTTGATTCTTCTTGTACAGCTTCTTTATTGTCATTCTTGTAGTTCTTACTGGGACCAAGTAACTGCTGTCTTTGAGGCCCGCCCACGCCAAAAAAAACTTTGTTTCACGGATGACTGGGCTTGAAGTTGTATTGATGTTAGGCTGGATCCTTGTTAAAGGCGCAAAGTGAAACCATGCTACAACCAGGTTCCGTGCTCATGGGCAGATGCAACCAGAGACAGAGTATGTGGTCCAACAGGTTCTGAGATTGTTTCTGTGTGGTGCGCGTGCGCGAGTTCCGAAGTGTCCAGCTCTTCAACTGCCAGCGCCCGAGCAAGCAGGACACGGCACATTAAAGGTGCGCAAATCACTGAGAGTTCCCCAGCTTGCACTCAAGCGCATCCATCGGACATTCATGAGTGTTGTTGACTTGCGAAACCACCTTGTTTCACGGATGACTGGGCTTGAAGTTGTATTGATGTTGAGGCTGGATCCTTGTTAAAGGCGCAAAGTGAAACCATGCTACAACCAGGTTCCGTCCAAACTCATGGGCAGATGCAACCAGAGACAGAGCATGTGGCCCAAACGCAGGTTCCGAGATTGTTTCTGTGTGGTGCGCGTGCACGAGTTCCGAAGTGTCCAGCTCTTCAACCGCCAGCGCCCGAGCAAGCGGACGGTTGCTTTGCGTACCGTACCAGTAGCGAAACTCCCCCATTTGTCCGCACTCCGCCTCCAGCAGCAGGCGAAACCCACTTTCGTCATCCCTAAAGTGCTTTGAGTCAAAACGACTGCGAACAGCAACATCTATCAGGGCCTGCTGCTTCAGCAGTGCGAATCAAACTCAGCCAGCCGACTTTTCAAGGTGCGTTTGGCACCTTCGACACGAAGAAGAGGCTGCAGTAGAGCAGACGTCACCTGCTGTTTTTGTTCAGGTATGTTTTCGGGGGCTGCGTGAATCTCTACACACTCTCTACACACTTGTGAAGCCTTAGCATACACGCAGCCTGGCTCTACTGCCCACAGATCCAACACGGTTCAAAAAGAGAGCTGATGTGTTAGAGCAGTGCGAGCTTACCTTAAACGGACCGAAGGCTGCAGTAGTCACTGCGAGCAAAAGTTTCTCATGCCTAGCTGTTGCAGGACACGGCACATTAAACGCGCGCAAATCACTGAGGGTTCCCCAGCTTGCACTCAAGCGCATCCATCGGACATTCACGACTGTTGTTGACTTGCGAAACCACCCTTGGAAAGCACCAGCCGACCTGGATGTGGTCAACTGGATGATGGCCATGCGCGGTTCAAGTGTTGTCAAACTTAACCATGAAGCCTGAGTCCTTCAACCCTAAACCCGAATAACTCCCCCAACCCAAAACCCGAAGCCTGAACCCCTAAACCCCAAACCCCAAAGCGTGTTCTTGGGCTGTAGTCCGTTCACAATCTGCTTCCCTGCTGTAAGAATCCAAGGAGCGGTTCAGAATTCCAAAAGGTTTACGTAGCTGAGAGGTGGCCGTCTTGTTGCGCAGTCTTGCATAGGTGACGAAAGCCCAGTGTGTGCGTTGCTTCCATGTAAGGGCACGTTTCTCAGGATGGTCCCCATGCGGACAGCACAAGCTCGAATATTTTTAGATCACAGTAAACTGAAGCAGCAGAGTGCAGATGTCTGGGGCTTTGATTTTATGGTCATCTTTCACGGCCGAATTTTAGGAGCGGCTGGCGTCGTCGTTCGGAGCCGTTTAGGGATGGACAGACGTACGCAAGGTTTTTTCGCGAAAAGTCTCATAAAGATTTGTAAACACATGCACGTGCACGATCAGGCATATTGTAGTTGTACGGTTGGGTTGGGTGATTGAAGGTCCATCCGTGCTGATGCAGCCAATGATTCCGAAAGATTTCGACACTCAGCAATTCATAAAACATTGACATTGCATGCGTGAATCCACTGCTGGATGCTTCAGTGGCCCCTACTGGAGTTTCTGGTGTCTCAGACCTTCCGGCAACAGCACTCCTACGTCTGCAGCCCCGCGTTCTTGGCTGCCAGCAGAGCATGGATTGAAGGGCAAGTTTTCAAGTATTCTCCAACAGCTCTGGCCGAACGCTACGAAGCCGTTGCTGCGGATTTGCGTCCAGTTTACAATTTGTTGCAAGGGGTGTTGACCAGCGCCGTGTCCTCGGAAACGGTGAGCACTGACAATGCACATGATGGAGTGGCAGACCGCCTGTATGTCAAGTGGGCCAAAGCTCTCTCGAAGGTGGCATTCGATGTTAAGGTGTCAGAGTCAGAGTCACAGCTGATCGAGGATGAAGCGGGCATTTGTGACGAAATCGATGCCGTTGCCTTCCCCAATGCACATCTCCGGCGAGGATGAGTTGACGAGTCTGATTGGTCATATTCTAGAGTTACGGTTGCGGAATTTTGGAATGGAGAAGGCAAGTAAGGCCTATACTACAAGATGACTCCTCTAACGTGTGCTTGCAGCTTTCGAAACGACACCTCTGGTGTCTATGCGTCAGAACTGTGCCACCTCACCGGGAATATATTCCTCCTCTGCAAAGTGAATCATGACCGCCAAACCCCAAACATCCGGAGAATGCCGAAGTCAGGGTAATTGCGTAGACAAGCGCGTAGGCCATTCTGAGATTGGTGTTGGGTTGGATTGGATTGGTTTGGCTTGGCTTGGGTCGCGTGTAGCAGTCATGGGCGTTCTTTCGCCAAACCTTTGGGTCCGGGGTTGCTGCCTTGAGCAGGACAAATTTACTTGACGCCCGCTGCAAGCTTCCAAGGGCGATTTGTTGGCTTCCCTGAGTGCCCACAGGGCTTGATTGCTGGCCTGTCCGCATGTTTGGCAGTGAAGAATCCGCAAACACTTGCCCGATTTCAGAGGACACGGGGATGGGTGTTGAAAGGTCCAAGCGTCCAGTGTTTCCGTTTATATAAGTGTGTAGAGCTCACCTGCGACCCTGTTATGACTTTGCTTTGGAGGATAGTCAATGCGTCTGCATCTTGGAGGGAGGATCCATTTGGGCATGTGCCGGAGCTTTGGAAGGGCTTCTTCTCTGTGACGCGGTCCGCGCGATGGGAAAACCTGACAGATTCGCTTCACAAAGCGGAAGCTTTTGCTGGCTTACGGGCATCTGGAATCTTTAGCCATGGAAGATCCTCCAGAGCCATCCTTAGACGGGTGGAAGTGGATTGGGCATTGCTCAAAATCTACTCACGCCTGCTGACCCCTGTAACACCACTGGACCTCTCAAGGACCCCCATACGCGTAGGCCTCGCAGAGTTCTGGTGGAACCTTGCTGGCATGACAGATGTTGGATTCACCCAATGGGAGTGGATGCACTTGGGCCTGCCGGTTCTTGCTACAGGTGCAGAGTCTTACATCGCGAATGGATGTGCTACCTCTGCAAAGTTCGTTTGTCCACATGTACTGCTTCGCATGCGCAACCTGTCACGATTCCATAGCGGAAGGTCCCAAGCTTTGCAGCTCCAGTTTGACATAGAGGCACTCTTGGAAGCCGCGTTCGAGCTGGGACGGGATGGAGATGCGACGGCCATGGCGAGATTCAGGGCCATGATGGTGCCAGTCCTGTCTGAAATCCGATGTCGCTGTTGCAAAGACTGCGCGGTTCAGACGTCGCCACTCACCCGGCTCCCAGACGAGCAATTCAGTGACTGGCAGCTTGCATACAGGCTCGGCCGTGGGGCTCTCACCTTGCAGCGGCGGGTATTGTCCCAGCTGTCGCAGGACCATCCTGCACGGCCAATTGTCGAGGAAGTGGTGCGAAAGGATGGAAAATGGTGTGTAGGAGGTGATCAGGGCTGCCACTCCACCCCGTCGCATTGTTACCCCTACGACGAGCTCTTCGAATCTATACGGACCGAGAGGTACATGCGCACACACAACGATGGCTACAGCGGATACCCACGGCTGCGCGTCATGCAAATCGGGATTTGTATGGGTCAATCTCTTGCATCCATCGAGCGCTTCTTCCGACCTGTGGGTGTGGACCGCATTGTAGGAGTGGATTTGGTTCCTGAGGTCTTCGAGTTCTTCAAGCACAAACTCTACACGCTGGAGCCTTTCGACATCGACAAGATTCACACTTACCGCGCGTCCAGCCTTGTCGGCGCGGATGTGTCAAGACTGCACCGCGAGCTGTTGGCAGACGAAAGAGCAGACAAAGACATCCGATTCGACATCATTATTGATGACGGAGACCACATTGGTGAAGCTATGGTTCAAACATTTCGCAACATGTTCTTGCGTTTCCTGAAGCCTGGAGGCTATTATATTATCGAAGATCTGAATGATTTGTACAACTATCACAGCACACAGATTCTGAAAGACTTTCTTTGGCAGCACCTGGTACCAGCTGGTCCGGACCAGTTTGAGAACATGCCGAAGCACCTTTACATGAATACCAAGGAAGTAGCCTTGCAGTCAACCCCGGATCCTTTTTTTCAATGGGTTCACAGCGTGACGCTTCACGGTCGTACATTTCTAATAGTGAGGAAGCGTGTGGCAGTCCTGTAAGTCGGAAAATCAAATCCGCTACGGTTCTGTGCAGCGCATTTGACTTGGATCTTGGGTTTATTTAGCGACGGTTCACGAGTTCAGGCTCAGTCTGCCCAGATTGTTTAGTTTAAGGTTTAAGGTTTCGGTCAATGATTTTTCGTGGTGGTACTCGAATGCTGCTGTGGTGGAGAAGGCATTGAGACGCTCTGAGCTGGGCGTTCGTGCTCTCTGGATGCTGATGCAGCCACATCACGTCTACAAAAGAACCGTGAATGAGCATCAGAATTCACAGCAAGCTTAGTCGGTCTGTTCAACATGTTCAGAGTCCGCACACAACTTCTTCCCGAATGACTGCATGGGATCTGCTGTAGCTTTGCCATGCTATCGCAGCCCTTAGCTCCCCTGGGCAGTCCCACGCCGCGTCTGCAAGAACGGCTGCATCTGTCGCCTGTGACACCACACTCCAGGCACCTCGGACACCGCTCGCAATTGCCGGTGAGCCCTGCGCCCTCGCCACCACCATTGGAACTGCAAAAAGGGGAGAGGATCTCTCCTCGACCGTACCTAAGCCCGCAGTTGCGGGAGGCCGAGCACTCCATCGACTACCTTTGCCACAAGTACGAGGCTTTGTCACGCCAGCTCAGCCGCGAGGAGCAGGCACGGGAAGCTGCAGAAAAACGCGGACGACAGCTCGCTGCTGAGTCCCTTGAGGCCCAGAAGTACAAGGACCTGCTGTCAATGTACTCTCAGCCTCTCATTTGCGAGGGTAATTGGCACTCTGCTTTGGCCCGGTCACATACTGCTCGTTTGAGACTGCTGTAGTTAAAGCTGGGAAGCATCTTCACAGGAGCAAAGCACTGATGCTTTGATCTCCGAGCTGACATCCCGTCAGGCTTGCCGCGTCGTGTCTTACTTTTTCGCGGTAGCTGGCCTCCCGACCACAATCTGGCAGCTTTGACGCGGCAGGCAGCGATTGTCAGTCTCCGTGAGAAGGCGGGGCTGGCGGGCCAGCACGCAGCCCAGCAGGCCTACTGCCTACGGGAGGCACCCCGAGCTTCCTGTGCTTCCTGTGCTCCGCCTGCTGTCTGGAGTTCAAGGTTCCAGTTTCAGCTTTGCAGCTTAGGATCCCGGAAATCAAGACCGTGCTTCTCACAGAATGCTTAGGCTCAGATGCTAAAACAACTGAATCTTGAGCTTCGTCAGACCCTCGGTTCCGCAGACACGCACGCAAAATCCGACAAGTCAAGGAAAGGGGCCTATAGTCGCGAGAGCTAGATTGCCTTGCAAAGCTTAGGCGAGGCAACACAGGTTCGGAGCTCCTACAATATGAGAAAATCTTTGCCGTAAGCCTTGTGACTTCGGACGAGCTCGGAATTCAGAGGCATCAGGGATCGTCAGCTTCTGGAGGAGCAAGCGGCTGGCGCTGCTGCGGAACAGCGCTGCGCGAACCTCCACGAGGCTAGCGGCTTTTGCCCGGGCCGGGGTGAACACTTTGACAGCTCGACTCTCACAAGGGCATGTCTTGCCCTCTGCAGCAAGGGCTGTCTGTCTGCTGGCACTTGGAATCTGTCGCAGGCGGCCTCCAGAGTTTCTTCGTGTCATACAAAGCTTGGGGCTTTGGGCTTGGGGTGCAAATCGGACTGCTCATTGATTGCCAGAAGAGTTGAGTGTTTGGGGCTCGAAAGGCCGAGTGCTAAGAACTGGGACATCCGACGAGGTAGGCCTCGTTCCTGAATCCCTGAACGCCTCAAACAAACGACTTGATTGAATGGGACCCAATTGATCGAAAGGTAATGGGTGAGGGATTATGGAGGTGCTCCAGGCACTCCAAAGCCAGTCTGTTGCCCCGGGTCCTTCAGCCCAGTCCAAGGGGCAAAGCATTTACACTGTGCCAACGGGGCCAACCAAAAAGCCTGGCTGTGCGCCCAGCGCCGAATCATCCAGGAGTGCCGCCAGATTTCCGAGCGATACGACCAAGCGGTACAGAGGCTAGCCCTGGAGGCGGGTTGCTTCAATCATGGTAGCACGCCAATGGTGGCTGTAGTGTGCTGCAGTAAGTTCACCATCATAGCCTTCCCTATTTTGCAGTTTCGTAGCAGTAGTTGTAGTAGTACTAGTAATAGTACTGGTACTGGTACTGGTATATACTGGTACTGGTACCGGTACTGGTACTGGTACTGCTACTGCTACTGCTACTGCTACTGCTACTGCTACCGCTACCGCTACCGCTACCGCTACTGCTACCGCTACTGCTGCTACTGCTGCTACTGCTGCTACTGCTGCTACTGCTGCTACTGCTGCTACTGCTGCTACTGCTACTGCTGCTACTGCTACTGCTGCTACTACTACTACTACTGCTACTACTACTAGGCGCATATGGGGTCCCTGAGCCTTAAACTCCAAACCTTGAATCATTCCAAAGACCAGCCCGAAACCCTGAAGCGCCCGAAGCCCCGAAGGACCGGGAGATCGCCCGGGCACGCTTCGAGGCGCAAAGCTCGAGCCGTCGTTTGCGTCAGACGGAGGCCGACATGCAGGCCGGTGCCTTCCAAGCTGAGAGGGGCTAGTATGCTTCAGAATCTTAGCTGCCGCACTGGGTTTTGAATGGCTCTAGTTGGCTTCCAGCTTCTGTCAGGCTGGGGTTTTTGGGTTTCAGTTTTCACGTTCAATGTGTTTTGGTTGAGGATTTGGGAACGTATGGCTCAACTGTGAGGACATTGGCACTAGGAGCGGAAGTTGGGGCCTGTGCCCGTGTTTAATCTTACGGTGTCTGTTTCAGGATTCTCTCACAGTCAGGGCTTGCAGGTTCAGTGTTCGCCTCTGTGCAGTGAGGGAACCCATGGTTTGAGTTGACAGCCGACAATTCGACAAACAAGCGATTCAGATTCCTTCTGCTGTGCTGATGAACTCTGGAGCTCAAGTTTGCGAGAAGCTCCTAACGCTAAATGCCGAGGCTCAGGCAAACACTGACGCGCAAAACCGTGAGCTTTCAACTCTATGTGCTTGAAGCTAGGGCTAGGGGCCACTCGAAACGAGCACCTGGACATCTGAATTCTGCAATCCTTAAAACGTACAGACTCCACAGGTTGTTCGGGAGGATCTGCGAATCGAGGCGCAGCGCCTCTCGGCCTGACCAAACTTGGGACTGAGGCTGCCTTCCACCTTCCGGGGCTCAGAGGGTCGCGGATTCTCCAACGGTGTCCCGAGTGAGGGTGTTAGTGTTCGCGCTCGGGGGTTAGAGAAACGGTCAAACTTTGGAAGTTTCGATTTCGACCAGAAACATGAAATTCGATCTCGATCTCCCGAAAAAGCTTTCGCTGTGGCCAAGTTCGATCGGCACTGGAAGCTTGAGAGTTTGAAACGTCAATATCTTTCACTTCAATAGCTCAAGCTTTGAAACATTGTCTTACTTACATGCTCCACGAAGTTTTCAATCTGCCCAAAACTTTCGAAGATTAGACCTTTCAATCTTTCGACTCATCAGACTTCGATTCTCAGGCACGGTTTCAGGATAAGTGGACTTCCTTTCCACGCTTCTTCGTTGTCAAATCACTCAAGCTTTGAAACTCCCCAATCTCTGCCTCGAGAAACTCCACTCCTGACACCCATCGGGATGCTCCCCTTCGCTGCCTGCCGGGCTTGGGATGCGCAGGGTGTGGATTTAATGTCATGGCTCCTACAGCTGTTTGTCGTCAGGCTTTTGGTCTGAAATTCCAGTGGCCGCGTCCAAGAGCAAAGATAAGCTTACTTAAACCCCCTCAGCCGCAAGCCACAGGACAGCTGTTGGCACAGCAGGAGCTGCACCGATTGGAACAATTGGTGGAGGTCCGGGTCTGCAATTGAGGGGTTTTCGCGACCGGATTTGTTGCCTTTGCTTCTGTACGGGCGCTCACTCCGTCACAGTCTAAACGGCTGGCACCTCCTGCACTTTATCCCGTCGGGGTGACTTGTGGATTTTGTGGTCATTGCTGGTGACAGAGTTGTGAGTGTGGTGCTAGCTGCTCAGGTGCTGAAGGAGTCAACATATTCGGCTTTACAGATTTCGGGCCTTACGAGTTCTGAACAAAGGACGTGTTCACAGACAGTTGGCAGTTTGCGGCTTGCAGATTTCACAGGGGCACTTGTGAGTCTGCCGGTTGCCGCAATTGTAGCGAAGTTATTGGTGCGATCCGAGGTGGCATGGATTTGGATGGATTTTCAGAACATCTCCAGTGAGTGAGTATGCCGTTCGGTGCACTGCAGTCAACACAGCTACGAACGATTTGAAGCCTGTCCAATGTGCGTGGAGGCTACTATGCAAGAGTTCTGGATGGCGGAGCAGCAAGTCGAGCGGCAACAGCAGGTTCCACAGCCGATTTATGGGCAAGCGCTCAATCCTCTCGGGATCAATCGAGTTTGAGATTGGGCGGGGTCTTCTTTCACTTTTTTTCGTGCGGCCTCCGACGCCTTGCCATGTGCGGGCAGAGTTGATCTGATGTTGGAGCGAGCCATGTTGGAACAGGACGTTTTGGTAGGTGATGCCTTCGATGGTTCGTGTTCTCTGCGGCCTTTGCGTGTGCATGTGTGTGTGTTTGTGTTGAGAAGCTTTCTCGTTCTACACACGAGGAAGCTTGACATGAAGCACGGGCGCTATGATTGTTGTTACTCGCAGTACTTCTGTGACAGCTTGCGGTGGCATGTTTGCAAGAGTCCTGCATCGTGGAAGGTTCAAAGTTCAGGTTCGGCTCAAATCGCCCTGAAGTCCGAAGCCCTTTAGGCCGTCCTTTTTTGCCGAGGTCTTGGGTCAAAGGCACCAGGAGATCAAGGAGGAGGATGCCGAGCTTCTGGCTCTCAAGGATTCTGTCAGAGAAGTGCAAGCGGACTCCTGGAGGCACTTGCGGTCCGGAGTCCTGAGACTAAAAAGCAAGGCCTTTCAGACGTTCCCAGTCTTCAATTCGATTGGGGGGGTTGCCGGTCAACCCGGGGTTGGGGTCCTGGCACAGGCTCCGGCATCGCAGAAAGTCAAACGATCCAAAAGCTAGTCAAAGTTCTGTTGCTAGATTTGGTTGAGCTGAAGGCATCTCACGCCTGTTTGCTGCTGTATGAAGCGGGGGGCGGGAAAACAACCTCAGGAGATGCTTCGGTTCACGCGACAGCTGGCACATGTAGATGATGAGTGTGGGAAGCTCGAGTGGGAGCTCAACGACGTGCGACAGGTGATTGGCAGCAGAAAGGGGATGTCATCCATGGGTATATTACCTGAGTTGTGTTACGGGATATCCTGCAGGCTTGCGATTTTCCGCTCCTACGAACTGCGGGGCTGGGATGTGGGATCTTCATCATGTCTTTTGTTTTCGTAGTGCTGCATTTGTCAAAGACTACCTTCCCCGAAGCAACTTATCCAAGATCTGCGGCATGAGGCTGACACCCTAGTGACGGTATAAGAAATTCAGCAAGGTTCCCCTGCAGAGTCCATTGAGCAGCAAAGGGCTTGTAGCTTCTGCAGCTGCACCCGGGCAGCCACGGTTTAGGGTTTAGGGTTTAAGGTATGTAGAATACGGCTTTTGGGGTACAGTATAGTATACTATAAAATATCATAAGGAAACCTCAAAATAGTATAGGTAATTATATCCCCAAGCCCCTTCGCAACAGCCTGGATCAGAGGCCCTCCTCGCAGCGGGCGAGGAGGTCACCGCCCGCAGATCCGACCTGAAGGCCCTTTGGGTGAAGGGTCAGAGTCCAGCCGTTGAGACACTCGAATTCGCTGCTGTTTTCCCGCGTCACCACTGCCGGGCAAGGAATAGTTCTGCTATGCTTGGGGTTAGTTGTACTGTCTTTGGTGTCCGGGTTGCAAGCCTTGTCTGGGATAAAAGATGTAGGACGGACGTCAAGTCTGGCAATGCATGTCTTGGAAAGATGCCGAATTATGCGGGTGCAGCTGCCTGTTGCCCAGTAGGCTTTGGCAAACCTGCACAAGTCGTTGTTCCAGAGGCGCAGAGAGAAGCTGGAAATTCCCTGCGCAGCAGCTGGGCAGGAATCAGGAACTGTACTTCGGCGATTCGGGCTTGAGGTGAAGGTTGGATGTTGACCTCTCAGGTGAGCTTCTTGGGCTCGAAGCAGGCCGGCTCTCCAAGGAGCAGGAGATTTGAAGTTTGGGTCTGGGTGCCTGCGTCCTATTGGGTTCGATTTTGGGAGTTCTTCAGAGGTGGAGTTGAGTGCCCCAGGGACCCAGGGGGGGGGCAGAAGATCTTGCGGCTGGGTCTTGGGTGCTGCCCAGGGGCACACTGTCAGCCCTTACTCCGGATCGGAGTGCAGCACAGGCGAAGACAGGGATTGGGCCTCAAAAAAGTCCGCATCACGGCAAGAACAGTGCTAATCTTTCGGTGATGATGCGTCTTGTTGCTCACGAGGTCAGTCGCACGCGTTGCGGGTTCTGGTTGCATGAGGGTTTATACGTTCGGATGGAATACATGCTTGGCATGCATGAAAAAGAGCCCCGCGGCCTTGCAAGGAGGTGGAAGCATTGCGAAGAAGGATCCAGGAGGCCGGGGAAGCCGGCGTTCAGGGCAACAGATGCACCAGAGGGCTTCGCTTCGGAAGATGACAGTGCCGATGCTAGCCCCAGACTGCTCTGTGCAGGCTTTTGGGCTTGAGGTCAGACACATCTCCCGGCAAGCCGTTGTAGGAACTCTTGCGTCATGGCGAAGGCAGCACGCGCAGTTGCAATCGTGATCTTGGGGCTTTGCCTTTGCAGCCTCCCGGCCTTCGTGCCTGGGCCCGGCCGCTTTGCTCGCACTGCGGCCCCTGCCGCCGTAGGGGCTGGAGCACTGGGCATGCTGGGCGCAGCTCCGGCATATGCGGACAGGACCAGTGGCTAGGATACGACATCCTGCCACTTCTCTACTAATCCTAATCATATGCGGACAGGATTGACGATGCGGCGAAAGTGCTGTCGGAGAAGTCCTATCCGTTCCTGAAAGAAATCGACTGGACCTCCGATGTTTATGCCAAGCTGCCCACGCAGAATGCTTTGGACGTGCTCAAGGCCATCGGAACCCGCTTAAAGGTAATAGCAAAGCAATCCTTTTCCTGTTGAAAACAACCCTACCAGTACCAAATCTAGTCTAACTCTTCATTGGGTCCGCGGGATATCCTCAGGCCATCAACACCATGCTGAAGATGGGTGCATCAATGGACCCAGCAGCTTTGAAGACCGGTGTTTTGGCGCACAGCCAGGCCATCGCCAACATGGACTCGAAAGGGGTGGCGACGCTTGCGGACTACACAGCCATTAATGCAGCCATAGGGCACATGATCTCATCCGTGCCGGCTTCGCAGACCATGGACGTCTACAATGCCTTCAACAAGTTCAGTTTGGGCAAGGATGTGGGCCCTTACATGATGTCTAAAGTAAATGCAGCAGATGCCAAGGCAGCTTACCAGGCACTGATGGACTTCAAGGATGTGGTGAAGGCCTCTCAACGCTGAGCCTTTAATTCAATGACAGACTTTCTAAAGACGTGCTTGGCGCGTGTGCAGCTCATGCAGCTCACAGAAGATTTCAAGCAGTTCTGTTTAACTCCTGACGGTGGCCGCGTCGTCGGATGCCACATGGCTGCCGTTGTGACTTGAGGTGTGAGAGCTCGAGAAGAGAACAGTTGCAGATTATTTGTGTGGTTGCATCTTGGTCATGATCAAGCAGTAAAGCCACCGATGCTAGCCCAGTTTGCTTTGTTCATCAACGAGGGCTTGGTCGCTTGGTTTTAGGTCCAGCAAAGGGTCAACGGTCCAGCCCAGACGGCAGAAGCAGCAAACCTTGTTGAGAGCAGTGATCATGCACGAAACGTGAAACTGAACACTGACAGCCGCAAGCCCAAGATCGAGGTGGAAGCTGCGATATCCGAGTGCAAAGACCACTCTGTCAAGGCAGGCCTTCAGGGCCGTGAGGGTGTGTGTGGCTAGCGGCTAGACCGTGGATCGGGATTCCTAGTCCTTGGCTTCGAGGGTGTTGGGAAGTGTAGTAATGGAGAACGTGGTCAAAGCACTTCAATGTTGGTGGTTGTTTGCATCCTCAAAACTTTCATAGCTTGTATCCATTCGGGATGCAGGCCTTCCGCGAGAAGGAAGTCTGGATCCGGAAGGTGGAGGAGCTGAAGGCAACGGAGCCGAGACTCCGCGACCTTGCCAGGTTTTCGGTTTGAAGGTCAGCATAATCTTCGGGAGTGGAAGGAGGCACTCTCACTCGACGTCGTTCTAGTGAGTGCAGTCGTCACGCCAATTGGATACCCTCACAATGGTCCAATGGTCTTCCATTTTTCCGGCTCCATCGGCCTGATAATCTAGATTGACGTCCTAGGGTTCCTAGTCAGAAGGGGTCCTGAGATCATAGTAGGCTGGAATATCTCTGCTTAATGGATCTGGCTGTGGGATTCTTGGCTGTTGTGTACTGTACATACTTCTGACGCTGTATCTTGTGAGGATTCTTGCAACATGTGGCCACGGCCCTCGCGTCACCCTAAGCTCCCATCCAGCAGCAACAGACAAACAAGCAGCACGCACATTAGCGGGTAGTGCACCTGTCATGCCGCCTCGTCACCTCACATGCTCGCTGGGGCTAGACTTCATAATTCTGTACTACTGAATGCGTGCAGGCGCTACTCGTTGCAACTCTCTTGCATCATCCTACGCAGCCTTGCCAAATGGAGAGTCAGAGAGAGGGCATCTCTCGGGGGTTCTGTTCTTACGGTCTCCAGGCCGAGGACGCTCAACTCTCTGCGGTCGCCAGCGGGCTTCGTCGCGCGGCTCATGCCGGGGCGCTGGCCACAGAGGCGGGTGATGGGTCCATGGACGAGTCGGCAGAATGTCCCGAAATGTTCCGAAAGGTCACATGCAGCATCATGAGAGTTTGATTGTCGTGAATTGTTTCTGTTTTGCAGCCTTGGAACTTACCCCGGAGCTGCAGCCAGTTCCTCCAGGTTGTCACCGCCATGGCGGCAATACTGATCGTATGCTATGTATACCGTTAGGCTGATGCATGAAGACTGCCGCATCATGCACCATCCTCGCTGAGAGCTTCGCTTCAACGCAGAGCTTCCACTTGCTGAATGTCAACACTGAAGCACCTGAGCCCTGAAACAAAACCTAGGACGTGCAGAGCGAGCTGCAAGTCGCCTTCCGAAGAAGGGAGGTGTGGGCTCTGGTTGCTCGGGGCTTGTTAAGGGCGTAGTGTAATTGCGGGTTTCCATGTTTTCAGGTTTTAATTCCGTGTTTCAGCAGCTAAGTGGGTGTTTGAGGTAGTTGTGTGTACCACTATTCGGATCGTTAAAGCAGATCCGCACAGTGTGTTGAGGGAAGGCGTCATCGCCGTCGTTATCATCGTCGTCGTAATCATCGTGGTTGTCGTCATCCTCATCCTCATCCTCTTTCTCATCCTCATCAGCACCATCACCACCTTCAGCACCATCAGCACCATCAGCACCTTCAGCACCATCAGCACAATCAGCACCATCAGCACCATCACCATCATCATCACCATCACCACCATCACTACCATCAGCACCATCAGCACCATCAGCACCATCAGCACCATCAGCACCATCAGCACCACCATCAGCACCACCATCAGCACCATCACCAGCACCAGCACCATCACCACCACCATCACCCGCACCATCACCAGCACCATCACCAGCACCATCAGCACCATCAGCACCATGAGCACCATCAGCACATCAGCAGCATCAGCACCATCAGCAGCATCAGCACGATCAGCACCATCAGCAACACCAGTGCCGCCACCAGCAGCACCATCACCATCATCATCACCATCACCGTCGTCCTCGTCCTCGTCCGTTATCGTCCTTGTCTGTCCTCGTCCTCGCTGTCGGGCCCGCGCAATCATCAGCACCATCGTGACCCCTGCCACTATCACCATTGTTGGAAGCAGATACTGATGCAGCTGATCATGGCCATGATGGTGCTCGCAGAGAAGCTGGTGAGGACGTTGCCGATGAGTGCTGACTCAGGCTGCCACAGGTACGTTCCATGCCAGGAGATGATTGGTCTTCGGTGAAAGATACCCGTGATTATCATGATGTTGATGAGGATGTTGATGATGAGGTTAGAGGATGAGTGTATGTGTGAAGAAGCCGAGACCCTGGAGTTTCAACAGCAGGCTTCTGCATACTCTATATAAGATAAGAGTCTTGCAGACTCTGACCAGAGACTCCCAGAGCTTCAGGCGCTGGTGGAGGAAACCACGGCGAACCGGAAGGCCGCCCGGTGAAATAAAGGACGAGATGGGATAGTTCCTGTTATTTCCTGTTCCGGTCGTTTGAAACCGCTCCGGAAGTGAATTTTGCAGGGGGGAGTCGCCGACAAAGAAGGATGAAGCCAAACAAAAGTGCAGAAACTGCAAATCGTCACTGCGGCTCTGGCCGCGAACAGTTTGGTAGACCCCTACCTGTCGGTCCAATTTCTCGTTGCAAGTTCCTTGAACAGGCACCCATCGTACTTGCAAAGCTTGTGTTTCGGACTGTTCTATTTTTTGGAGTTTGAGGTTGAGTTCATGTCAGCGCAGTATGGTGCTCTGGCGAAAGCCGGCGGGCTCCTGCACTCCAGCGCCCAGAAGACGAGGCCAGCGCGGCCTTTGCGGTGCAGCTGCAGCAGCTGCGGCCCGAGATCGCCGAGGCGCGACGGAAAGCCACAGCAAACTGTGGAGAGATCGCACTGATCTGGACGTTACCGATAGATCCCAAGAGCTGAACCCGAAGATTGGTGAAGAGCTGAAGATGAAATCTGAAGTTCAGGGATGCACTGTGGGTTTGGGTGTCAGAATGTGTCGTCCATGCACAATGTTTGGAACCGGGGATATGTGACAGTTTGCTGGCTGCGCCGTGGATCTTCGATCCTAAGCCGTGGAAGCCATGGAAGCTGAGCTCCAAACCGAACACAATACCCTAAAGTTCTCTGAATCACCTCAGTCTGATGTCTCAGCTTTCTGTATCTGCACGTTTTGTGAGGCAGATGAGCGCTGTGCCCGGCTCGAAACCAGCATGGGCCTCGACAGAGAATGTTAGCGTTACCGGTGCATGGAGGTACAGAGAGTTTTCTTAAAGTCAGTGGAAGGGCCTGCCTACGTAATTGAGGCACTAAGCCCGCCCTGCCCCAAGGCCTGGTGCAGAAGTCCAAGGACAGCAGATGCGTTGATGGCAGCAGCTAGCAATAGTGCATGATGCTGATCTCACAGCAACTACTACAGCCAGCACTCCTACTGTACTCCCCTTGCTGCTGCGGCATCGGTTTCGATGACGACTTTTACTTAAGACCTGCGCTGAAAGCACAAGGATGACTAATAAAGTGCATTTTGCTGTTGTCACACTCGCGAGTGTGCTTGCTCCCATGAGTATTAGCATCAGTACTCTTGTTGATTAATCCTTTCTCCGATCCATACTACTGTTTATAATTTTATTGATTGTCATAACTGTTAGATGCAAAAACGCACACATGTAAGTCTGCAAAGATGCATACATGCATGTATGCATGTATGCATGTATGTGTATGTCGTATGCGTAGATGTCCATGTGTACGTATATGTCTACGTATACGTATACGTACAGGCTCAGGTACGGGTACAGGTATAGGTATAGGTATAGCTATATGCAGGTGTATATGTCATAAGGTGCAAACCTGTTGGGGGCCCTTCTGCGCTCGACAGAAAATGTGTCATCAGGCGTATGTGTGCATCTATGTACATGTTCATGTATATGTACCTATTTGTATACGTGTATGCATATTTCCTTTTACATGCATACGTATATGTCTGTGTACATGTATGGGCACATGTGTCTGACTTAGCATGTGTATGTGTATGGGTATGGCTCAGAACTACTGTGAGTATGTGCATATGTACAGAACGGATATGGGTATGTGCATATGCATATGTGTATGTACAGGCGTAGGTGTTACTTTACATGTATATGTATAAATTGATTTATGTTTATGGTCATGTTTATGTTTATGTTGATGATTATGTCTAGGTCCAGGTCCTCGGTTTGGGTCTAGGTCTACCCCCGGAATTATCCACTTTGTGTGGGAATGGATTGAACATTGTCTGGCCGCAGTCCATGCCTGCTTTCGCACCGTTCTTTTTGGAACCTCAAAGCAGTAAGTCATTCTTTTCATAGTTACGTACCTAAGCCTTGAAAGGGACCCTAATACAGACAATCCTGCATGTGTAGAACGAACACTGAAGGTCCGAAGCCAGAATAACATAATACCTGTGCAACCCCAAACCCGCACTTCTCAGGGATAGAACTCTATGGAGTTCCAGCAGTATAGAGACCCTTCCTTGATTAAAACGGTCTTGGGCTCTTTGCTAGCCCGTTGCAGGATAAGGGTTTGATCGCTAGGGTTGTGATTCAGAAACGTCCTGGTTTTCACGCAGGGTTCCTAACAAGGATGTCATAATTTTGTGTATTCGAACTAGGCCCTTCTTAGTCAAGCTGATGGGTTGTTGCAGCTTATCCCGACATGCTTATATGTTTCTGATACCACCAAATCAAGCAACAATAGTTTCATTCAGTGAATCACAGAGATGAACTGGATGTGCACGTTTAAGTACACGGTTTCATACGTCGCAGGGGTATTTCTCGAGCCTCATCAACACCTAACATTTTTTAACAGTGGTTGCCATATCTCAAGCGGGTATTTAGATCAAAGAACGGCCAGTGTTCTTAGTCAACAATAGCAGAGCCCGCTACTCCTCATTGGCAAAGCGCGGTGCAGAAGCAAAGGCATGCCCACCCCCCATGGGACAAAACAGGCAGGCGCTCATCCCTAAGCCGGAAACGAAGCAGACTACTTGCGTTGCACACTGAATGTAACAACCTTGCGCCACGCAATTTTGCAAACAAAGCGGCTGAATGACACTGTTTCATGTCTTAGAAACAGAATGGACAACACCCTTTTGTTTTTGAACCCCCTGTCTCCTCACAAACGAATCGATTTGTCAGTCTTGTTTTGAAGAAGCATTTCGCACCGAGACCGTGTGCACTGCATCCGTCACAGCCGTAGTCTCCGTCCCTGACTACTGTCTTTGAAGGGGGCACGAGGACACAGTTGAGTTCTGCTCTACACGAATAGCTCGTAATGCGAACTTATGTTTGCACTGCAACAAGATTGTCCACAGCATGATCCGAAGCATGTTTAATCAAGTTGTTGTATTCTCCTTTCAGGCCCAAATCTTAGGGACAGTACAGCTTTGGGACTTCAAGAGTGCTGCGCTGTCCCTTCATCGCTTAGTCGTCGTCGTCTTGCAGTACTTTGGATGCCCAGTCCAGGAGCTAGAGGACGAGCTGCTCCGAAAGCGATCGCTGCAGCAGGACGGAGCTTGGTGCAGGCAGAGTGTTGACTCTGAAATTTTCAGCAGGTGAAAGGTTTGCGTACACCCGTCATCGCCTTGGTGGCCAGGATCTGGATTTAGTGACGGAGGCTCTGTGGGAGCAGCGGTCTAGGGGCAAGTCCGTCGAGCAGGCGATGAGTCCGAAGGCCATGCAATGAGTCTGGTTGCACCGGTGGTGGTCAGGTTTTCAGCTTCCCATTGGTCTGGGGAGTTGGGGCTGCAGCGTTGCAGGATATGAACCTCTGGAACACCATGCCTGCAAATCCGCATCCTCGCAGCCTTCTGGTTTTGGAAACACGTGATACATGCACGACAACAATCTTTGTGACTTAAACGAAGAAGGCTCTACGGCGGCAAGCGAGGACTGTACATGTAACAGCTCTTCTCTTCTCAGATCACAGTCCCATTCACTTAGGAAGATACACTCCGGAAGCCGTCTGAACCCAAAGAGCGGCGAAACACAAAGGCCCCAACAAAGGGGACGTGTAGCGGTGTATCGCCTGTCCCTGTCCATGATAGACACGGCAGTAAGCTCCTGTCGACACCGGTACTGGAGCTTCAACCCGCTCTCTTCATGGCCAATCTCTTCTCAAGATGGCGTTGCCAGTTCTGGCTGCGTAGTAGATAAACGCCGCGCGGGTATGCATCTGCCCGAGAGTGGCGGGCGTTCCTCCGATTGAAGGACTCCTTCATCTCCTTCTCGTATTGTGCCCGTTGGGAGTCCTTTGTCGCCCTCTCTTTCGTCTGCGGATCTTGTTCTCCGACTTCTGCACGGTGTTGACTGCGTGCTGGATATTCTGCACAAAAGCGAGGCCCAATCCGCTTGCCTGTGCAGCTTGGCCCCATGCCACAAGGACAGAAGGACCAGGACAGCGAACCACCGTTTTGTGGGTACCAAGAGCCGCCTCGCCATCATTTGTGGGTTTTACCGTGTGTAGGAGTCGCTGTCATCTCAGCAAGGGCGCACTGCCGTGGTGCCTTGCTAGCCGAGCAAGAGGAAGCTGCCAGCCCGACGTTTCTAAGCTTGAGTGCTTACCCAAAGACTTCAAACCATACTGCAGGCTGATGATATTCATTATTCTACACGGAGTGCCATCATATCGCCTCGCCTCGTGTGTTTGGTGGTTGAAAGAATGCCATCTGCATGATGAAGGTTTCGTCGAGATACTGCATGTCATATCCAGACCTGCAGCCAGTACGGCGCCTCGCACTGCCTGTTGACTCTTGATGAGCGCTCGGCCGTGATTTCAGACTTGCAGCTCTCCTTGGCTTGCAGGCCGTGCCGCTGAACGGCCCCACGAGCCCGGCGACGCTGCGGAGCCCCGGCTCCGGCTCCGGCTCCGTGCGTCGGCTGCGCTGAGCGGAGGCCGACCAGACCTGTGATGTTGGTGAAGTCACCAAGGAAAAGCAACTACAGGATGCTCTAACCCGGGCAAAAGCCTCGGAATTACCGACATTCTCAGTATGGTAGCTCAAAACAGCTTGACCGGCGGAATTGGAAGGCCCGTTTAGGCAGCCGCGCCACACCAAAAGCCCCAAGCCGCGACCACTTGCCGCATACGTCCCAGCATGCACAACCACAAGGTACAAGGCAGATTTTGGCAGGTCGGTTTGGTTTTCGGGCGTGTTCGCATTTCAAGATCATCTCACTGCATCCCCAAAAGGCCCTGGGCACCTCGAACTCTCCTAGATTCCTTGGCGAATGATACTTCCAATCCCGACCTCGTGTTTAGTACTTCGCGAAGAAGTACACAGTACCTCACCCATTTAAGTAGCATAGAGGATGTGGCGAGCACGCTGATGTTCCAGCCATGTGCATGCCGCATGATGAAGCAAGCTGCTGCGGGCAATTTCCATCTGACCTCTATGACTCATGCGACCCCAAGGGGTTCATCCAACTTAGAGGACTTTTGCTTGCGCGAGCTGTGCTGCATTCGCGGGGTCATCCTGTTGATGCGTGGTATGAGTGGAAGCATATAGCGAGAACAACAGTCCGGCCTGTGATTGAGAAATATCGGGGCAGACATGCGGATCTACCCTTGTGTGCTTGCAGCGCCACTCTTTTTTCGGCGACCTTCGTTCTCAACGCTTCAGGGTATTCTGTCCCGATGTGGGGCAACATCGATTTCTTGTTCAAGCTGATGAACCGTGGCAGGTGCGAGGCATCGGTTCTCGCCGCGGGGCTTGGAACACCCGCCGAATTCAGCACCACCACCGGCTACTGGACATCTTTGCACGCCTCTGCCAGGGCCGTTTGGCCCCTTGGCTGGCTTGCTCGTGATGTGCCCGCCTGTCAAAAGAACCGCTGGCCTTGCACAGAGGTGAAGGCGCTCTTGTCAGGCAAGAGCTTCTTCGATGTTTGGGTAGAGGGCGTTTCGCAAGGTTTGTGGCAATCCGTTTGGATGACTGCCTTGCGGCGGGGGCGGGGGGGAGTTCGCAGTGCCCTAAGCAGACTGAAAAGGGCAGCCCCTCAACGGTACGCAAGGAACACTTACTGGCGAAATCGTTGCTGGAGGGGCAATCGAACTATGGGTGACTGCACCGCAGGTGTCAACACTAGATTCACGTCTGATTCTTTCCTGCCGCGCCAACCAGCTTCAGATCCGGGTGCGATACATGGGGCAAAGGCAAGAAACCTCCCAAAAAACAGCCAGATCAGCCGCAGTGAAAGCATTGCGACTACAGCTCTGTGTGTTTACGGTGCTTCGACACGGGTGAAACCGGTTTTGCTAAAATCACTGGAAGAAAACGTGATCTGGCCAACGAGGGCAGATACTTTCTTTGTCCTTGGGGACCCTCTCCAACCACGAGAGCTCCAGGAACAACTGGCAACGACGCTTTTAAACCTTGTTCAGCAATACATTGACATTCGCTTCCTGAAGGGCATTCTGTTACGCAGCGATCCTTCACCTCTGGAATTGCTCGGGGCCATGGTGAGTAAGAATGCCACTGTTGGTCCACTGCTCGGGCGTCCGCTCTTCGGACAGCCGGGAGCTAACTTGTACCAAGCTCTGATGCAGCGAAGCTGCCTTGATATAATCGGCTTGGAGGAGGCAGAGAAGCACCATACATACAAATGGATCATTTCCAGTCGACTCGATCTGCATTGGCTTGGGCCGCACTTTTCCCCTCTCAAGCTTCGAACCTCTTCAGGCACTGGTTTGGACGTTTTCAACGTTGCGGTGCCTTGGGGTCAAGAAAATGGCGGTGTGAACGATCGCCACATAGTGGTGTCCCGCAGGTTGGCCGGTTGCATCCTTGACATTTGGGGTTGGCACTTGAGGAATAGAAATGAGAGCTCAATGCGGAGGCATCTAAATGGAGAGCAGAAGTGGGCATTGCATTTGCAGAGCTGCGGGGCTCGTATCCAGAAGTTCAAGCCAATGGCGCTCGTCACATGTTGCGATGAACATGAGGCTTGTGAGCACTTCCGTGACACAGTTATCATGGAACCTGGCCAGTCAGGAGAAGTGGCACCCGGCATTTGCAGCAGGTATCCTTCAGAATGGACCGAGGTCACGCTCGGGCACCACACTGAACGGGCTTTGATCTATGAGAGGACCCAAGGTGCAACATGGTTTCAGCTCGCCAGCGGGCAGATTGTTTATGGGTGCCTTGATCACAGAAGCCGTGCGAATACTATGGACCGGCCAGTATTTCCATGCTGATCTGCTCACCGGACATTGTTCAAGCCTGAGAGCAGCTTCTACTTTCTCCGTTGCCCGACACCGTCTCCAGAAATGCCGCGCGCGGATGACATGTGCTTCGATTCTGTCAACATGGAGTTTGACGATGAATTCGTGGGTATCATCACCCAAGCTGAATGATCCGTGTGCTTTCTCTCTGGCCCTCATGCCCCAAAGATGCTCTTGAGGCTGGGCAGCTGGAATCCTGAGTTTGAGCTTTGCGAAGTTTGATGAAGCGTTCGGAAGTCAGGAGACATGGCGATCCCCTTCGAAGCACAGGCTGAAGTCTGCAAAGGTTGCAAAAGCAGTGGATGCGAGAGTCATAGTACAAGACAGGAACAAGCATGTGCCACATCTCGTTCTTCCGGCATCTGTTGTAAAGATGTGATTTGGGATTAGTGGCCCGCGAGGTGCATATGGCCTTTCTTAGTTGATGCTTCCTCGTCTTCGAGGGCGGTTCTGGGTCTTGGCAGCCTGCACTGCGTGTCAGGCCGCGGCCCACGCCGCACCCGCCACCTGGCGCAGACCAGGAACCAGCAGCTTGCGACGGATGAAAGCGGCTCTGAAGAGTTTTCAACAAGCGACGATATGCAGTGCTTTTCAAGGCACAGATCCTAGGCTGGGCTCATGTAGAGCACTTGGAGCCGAGTTAGGGGAGAACGACAACACAGAATCTTCAGGAACTTCAGCTTCTTCTTTTTTATAGATGCACGGAGGTGTTCGCACTCTGAGGGTTTGGCATGCTTCGCGCACTCTTCTGCCTCTGTCGTTTCTTCTGAGGATCGGTAAAAGGAGCATTGGTAAACTAGTAAAATTTGCTGTTCTCCACCGCTGTTGCCAATGCTGTTGACCCGGCTGCACACTCGCTCCAAGAGAGCTGGACAGAAATGATGTACATGAAGACTTTGATCAATAGGAACAGTACCATTTGGTTGGTGCCGCAACATCTTGCTCGAACAGTTGCGGAAGTTTCTGGGCTCGACTGCCTTTACGCACTGCGCCTGTGCCCCAGACAATTTACATGTCGGAAGCGGGACGAGTGATACTCAGGTCTCCACTGTCGTGAAAGCACAGTCTGACCAGTTGCCAGTCATTGAGGTAGTGGATTGTAGGGAGGCGTGACATGTCCGGCGTTTGCTTGCGGCATGACCGTCAGGTTCGTTCACGTGCAGATCAGAGTTCCCGAAGCAGAAGGACCCAGGCCTTGGCACGTGTGGTCGTGCGCTACGGCTGTGGCATCTGCCAGTCCTGCATTTCTTTGACTTGCGCGATATGGCACTGGAGCGAAGCTGCTTGACAAGATTTGCAGACATGCAGTTGTGCATGTGGCAGTAGATCTTTCTCGTGATCTTCCTTCTCGTGCTTCGGCAATGCAGCCTTTGAAGCTATCGGGCGTGGAGTCTTTGCTTCCGGAGCAGGAGACGCTGATGTTTGGCAATTTATCTTCATAAAGCGCGGATGCTCAGACGCTCGGGAAGGGCCGCTCCAGTTTTTTGTGCGAGGCCCGGGGCCCCCACCCTGAGCTTACCTGCCCGGGGCCCCCTGTGCTTCATGGGCCCGGAGCTCCGCAGAGGAAGCCCAAGTCAAAGCAAAGCGAGTCGATAACATGCTCGAGCACTATATAAGAAGCTTCTCGTTTGTAAGTTTGGAACCCGATGCACGTTGCTACGACACGACGTTGATACAAGAGTAGAAGTAGCAGCTGCATCTCCGGCCACAATCCTGTGAGGAGCTGTGAGGTTAGAGGTCAGATGACTGACTCTTGCAGTTGTACCCGGGGTGTTCAATTAGAGATTTGTCCTGGAGACCTCTGCATGCACAGATTCGGATTTTTGTTGGCCTGCATCTGGGCATCGAAAGATCTTGAGATCGCAGAGCCAGGATGGCATTAAGTGTTGCAATGGAACCTTGGTGCAACTATTGGAATTCAGAGGTTTCGGGTTCAGGCGTCCAGGCTTGTTTGTATCACCTGGTTGGACTGAGGTGATCCCAGTCGAAAATGGCAATGAGACAGGCGGCAATGAAATGCTGAACTGTCATCGGACATGAAGCGATACCTGCCAACGTTGGAGGCTTTAGTCCAGAAGCTCCACGTAGTAGCCCCAAGCAGGACTGTCCTGAGTGGTCTTGATTGAGTGCCGCAGGGTGATCTGGCTTCGTCTAGAGTCTATATTGATACCGAAAGCACCGAATCGAGCATCCAAGCTGGTGCCGGACTTGGCAACGGTGTTGCAAAAGACAGTAGTTTCTTGATAGAGCATGAGGCTTTAAGGCTTTCGCTTGGTGGGCTCCTGGAGCTGCAGGTTTTTGTGTTTGCATCGCAATGCAGGCAGCTTTCCTGGCTGCGTATCTTCTCTGTCTCCTCGTGGGTCTGCGCCTCAGCCCTTCCAAAGCTTGAAAGCGAAGTGCTTCAACCTAAGTCTTCTCGCCTGAACCATTCATATCTGCAGGGACCAGGGAAGCCGATCCAAGACTTCGTTCAGCAGACTTTTTGACACCTCAAAGTCAAAGGTATTTGGCTTAGATGCTTCTGGAACCCAACATGGGTTCCACTTCGAGTACCTCGAACTGCAAGCTCCAAGTTCAAGTAATCTGAGAGCTCGCTCACCTCACCCAAAGACGCTTTCAGCCTCACATTCTTGTACTGCCTGACAAGCTCTTTGATTGACAAGTGCACTGCTGAACTAGAAGCGTTGACATGCGGTACTACGACGCTAACTGCCCAAGGCTGTGCTGTCGGCCTTGGGTGTTGTCATGTCTCCCTTAGACTGCCAAGACCTTTCTATAGAGGCTCTCACGAGCTTCCAAGGTCCAGCCCCTCTTGTACCAGTCTTGCAGATCGCGCTCTAGATTCTAAAGTCTGACTCTGACCCCTCAAGTCACACCAACGTGTCTCGTGATGCAGGATCCCTGCCGTTTGTCCTTATTATCACAGGCAGGAGTGTACGATGCATACGGCTGTTGCTGCTCTTGTTTTCTAAGGCTCCCATGCGGTCCACCGGGAGCCGGAATCTGGGGAGCTGTTGGCCTTCGAAGTGGAAAGTGGAGGTGCGGGGTTCACTACCTGCGCCAACCCGTTCCAAAGTGGGCACCGTTTGGCATGCATGCATACACATACATACATACATACATACATACATAGATACATACATATATGCATACATAATATGCACAGAATATACATACATACATATGGAAGTGTGTGCACGAGAAGATTGTAGATGTGAGCACAGAGCTGAAAATATCCTGTGCTCAAGTGAAAGCAGCAGGGTAGTCATGCGATGGGAATCCCTGCTGGTGGCGTTGGCTGCTCATCTCTGGCAGACAGTGGGACCTCCTAAGGTGATCGAAACCCACGACGATCCAGAGCTTAGCTGCAACTGTGCCTGTTCTTGTGAGATCCAACGCTCGTGGTACTTCGAAGGGTTGGTGGGATTGGCTATCGTTTGCAGTATCGGGTGGTCATTTTGCGCCAGAGCCTCGAGGCCTCAGACTCAGCCAGTGACCGAGTCTCCTTCAACGAGACGCCGACGAGGTCATGGGGTCCTTGTCTCGCCTGATTCCCGGGAGACGCTTGGCGACCTACTACAGTGATGACAATGTATGGCATGAGCGTATAGCCATCTGGAGGGTCAACGCTTACGAGTGGTTTGTGTTGACGCCCGATGCGGACCTTTATCCGGAGATACTCACGGGGGGTCAAGTGGACGGACCTGTGAAGGTAAAAATCCAGGGGGAAGATTTCCGATATTGGAGCCGGGTCGGCGGCACAGTGTACCGCTTTCGGGAGAACATTGAGGACTCAGCGCTGAGGGACCGCATGAATGAAGCCCGGGTCGAAGCCCAGTCCCTTGCGGGTTATGACTCCCAATGGTTCCCGTCGGAAGTGATTGATTCTTCAGGTGCGACAGTGTCCGCGGAGGCTTTCGGGCTAGTGCGGGATCCTAAGAGGCGCCTTCGTGGCAAGCAACCAAGAGGAGGCCAGGCCTCGCCGGGCCCTGCTGCCGATGCGAGCTGGGTGTTGGACATAGTCGGACCTATGACGGCGGCGCCGGAAGGCAAGGTGTGGCTGGCCCTTGAGACCATGGATGGGGTCAGGAGGGGCCAGGAGATCGAGGTGCGGCCCGACATTGACCTGAAGATTGAGGAGACCACCGGCTTGGTCCGAAAAGGCGGCGGATGGCTAAAGGTGGGACTCTATGATCTTGCTGAGGTGCCGCTCCCCCCTTTGATCCCTGAGCCGCAAGGGAATGCTATGCTTGGTGCAGATACCAAGGATGATTCGCCTCGGGAAGGAGCTTCACATGATGCTCGTACCTTGATGGTGGACTACGATGCTCATGGTTACCGCCATAAAGAATGGCGAGAGCTTTTGCACGAAATCAAGGAGTATCAGTACACGGATTGGCCCTTAGAAGGGCCGGGTACTGTCCTTCATATGGTCCGCCACATGTTCAAGTACGGTGGGGACAGTCGTCAATGGCTCATGCTATGGGCTCGTCACCGCGGCCTGGTCGACGGTGACCGGGTGATGCATGAATTACGGGTTCTGGTAGACATACTTTGGTATGGAGGTTCTTACGATCAACTGAATCTGGGAAGTCTTGTTTGCATGGAGGTCGCCGCTCGACGTGTTCAAGCAGTGGTCGATGCCTATAGTGCGGGCGGGACCGGCGCCCCAGACTGGGGGAACGCTCGTCTGTTCACCAATTATGTCGGACCTGAGGACATTGTGTCGCCACAGCTGCGAACATGGGCCGCACGTCGCGGCAAGGAGGAGGTCGAGTTACATCAAGCACGCAATCGATTGAAGGAGCTCAAGAAAGGTGGCGGATCGACTGCCGTTGACGAGGCGGCGGGCGCCGTCGCAGATGGTAACACAGCTGGCGGCGCTGGAGGGCGAGCCGAACGCCGACGAGGCAATCGGACCAATGCCTTGGAGGCGCCGCAGGCGCCATGAGATGTGACGGGCCGGCCGCGACTCCCCAGCCTGACGCGGTCGGAGGTTTATTCGAGGCTGGCTTTTCTGCATGTGGTCGTCGTCGTGATGTTTTCCCTTTGCCTCTTCCTGATCTAATTCCGGTCCAGAGGGGGTTTAGCCGAAAGTGCTTGCAGAGGGAGGCCAGGCGACGAAAAGTGAGAGTTGAGGAGCGAGAAGCAATCTCAGCTCTGAATTGGATGCATTCGGGCCGATTTGAAGGCCCTCGGAATGTGGTGGCGCCAGCTCAGCAGCGGGTGCTTGACCGTGTTCATGAATTAGTTGTCAAGGCGGGAGACCTCGGCGATTTGAGGCATCCCCTTTCACAGGAGGCGGCCCTACGGGAGCTGCTCCACGGACGGTCTGACTATCACAGTCCGACTGACCCGATTGCGCTCGCCCCTTTCAAGCAAGAGCTCGTGAGCCTACCAGAGAGTCTTCATTGCGCCCCGACCGCAGTTAGTCTTTTAGGTGGTTCCGACCGTCTTTATCTGGAGGAGGAAGGGCGAATGCTCCGAGAAAGCCCACCGGAGCACATTGCAATCCGACCTTACTGGGATCCGAGCCTCAGGTACAATCGGCGGACTTACCGAGGGTTTATGCGCCGCCTTCGTGATCTTGGTTACCTGGAGTTTACTCGGGCCCCACTTGAGGAAGCCGGCATCTTTTTTGTCCTGAAATCTGACCGAAAGCACCTCCGCATGATAGTGGACGCCAGGAGAGCCAATGCCGTTTTCCGGGAGCCGCCGGGTGTGGACCTATGTTCAGCTGAAGGCTTCTCTCGCATCGAGGTGGAGGACTTAGCCGACTGCAGGGGGCTCGCCGATGGCTTTCCTGGGGAGGGTGTTTTTCCGGATGATTGGGGTCTTTATGTGGGGCTTAGTGACGTGAAGGATGCCTTTCACCGTATGAAGCAACCTCGCTGGCTATCACGATATTTCTGCTTCCTACCCCTCACGGCTGGAGAGCTAGGCCTTACGGGAGACGAGCTGGAGGGCTCGCGTCTACGATCTCATGACGTGGTGTACCCGATGCCTGGCTCTTTGTGCATGGGCTTCAGCTGGTCACTGTATTTCTGCCAGAGAATCAACGAGAATCAGTTGCGTGAGGTGTTTGGGCCAGATCGCACCAGGCTGATCAGCGACCGAGGCCCTCCGGCTGTGTTCACCCGCGGGTCTCCAGCAGCTATGAGACAGTACGTCTATGTGGATAACCTGGGGGTCATCAGCAGTGACAGACAGCAAGTCGAGAATGCCCTGGATCAGGTTACGGAGCACTTCACGGCCAAGGAGCTCCTCCTTCACCCAGGCGAGGTCCATCGGACTCGCATCAAGTCCTTAGGCGTTGAGCTCAACGGCACGACCCTGACTACTCGCGTAAGTGCTGAGAGGCTCCACCGAGTTCGCCAGGGAATACGGGCACTGCTTTCAAGGAAGCGGGCATCAGGACGCACGCTTCAGATCGTCATTGGTCATGCTACGTACTGTGCTTTAGCCAATCGCAGGGTGATGCCCATATTCCACACCGTGTACAAGTACATCGAGAAGTTCGGCGACAAGGTGGGGGTGCTGTGGGACACGGTCTGTGCGGAGCTTCGCGCGTTCTCAGGACTCATGGTATTCCTTGAGTCGAGATGGGACCGGCCTTGGAGCTCAAAGGTGATGTGCTCAGATGCTTCGGAGGAAGGATACGGTGTGGTCTCCTCGTGGTGGTCTCCGCGCGAGGTGGCGGCCCATGGACGCGTCCCAGAACGAGGACGGTTCCGTCGGTCAGGGGGCCACAACGCCCGAGAGTCCGCACTGACCTCAGCCGGCTTTGTGAAGGATGAATTGACTGGCCAATGGTTGGCTGGAGAAGTCGACAGCCAGGATTACCTTTCGCAAGCAGGCTGGGAGATTGATGATCAGTTTCCTGAAATCCCGGGTGGACTGTTACGAAAGGAAGCCTGGACTCCGGAAGTGGTGGGCGCCTGGAAGCGGCCCGACAACATCGTGAGACTGGAGGCCAGAGCCCTAATCATAGCACTCCAGCGGGTTTGTCGAGACATCGGAGGATCATCTATACGCCAGCTGTGCCTCGTCGACAGTATGTCCGTCGCGTTGTGCATGGACCGCTGCAGGAGCCGGGACTTCCGATTGTTATGTCTGGTTCGTAAATTCTGCAGCCTTTGTCTTGCTCATGACGTGACAGTGACAATACGGTGGGTGCCCTCAGAACTCAACAACGCAGATGAGGGCTCGAGGATCTCTTCAGCGGTGGCCTCCAAGGTCTTGACCGCTCAGCTGGGCAACCATGCCTCCGAGGGGCTCGCGAAAGCGAGTTTTATCTCCGCCATCCCAGCCGAGCCTCGGCGCGCGACCGAGGAGACACAGGATCTTGGAGCCGGGAGCGGAGGTGCCAGCAACCGGGCGCCAGAGAAGGCCAGCGCAAACAGTGCTGGATTGGTCCCAGAAGCTGCGTACCAGCACAAATCCGGAACGGCCTACTCTCGAGGAAGTGTCCCTCAAAGCACCAGTGATCAAGCCGCCGAGGCCAGGGGAATCAGCAGACAGCGATGCTACGAGCAGCACATCGGAGCCCCTTCATGTCAAAAAGGGCTCTCGGCTGCTGGCCCGACGGTCAAGGCGGAGGACTCGGCAGTATGTGAACGAGATCATGGAGGCACAGAGCCAAGGACTCAGCCTTCTCGAGAAAAAGGCCGTGGGCGCGAAGGCGGAGCAGTACTACATCAGCGAGGTGGACAAATTCCGAGCCTTCGTCAATCACAAGCGTGGGAGCTTAGCGACTCCCCCCGAGGTGGACAAGTACCTCACGGCCTACATGAACGACCTGTTCCTGCAAGGTCATCCTGCTCATCGGGGGGACAAGTTGATGGCCGGGTGGATGCATTGTCACCCGGAGTTCGGCCGCTGTGGCTCAAAGCGTCTCCCCAGGGCGTGGAGATCGTTGAAGGGTTGGAGGCGCCTCAGTCCAGGACAGTCTCGCAAGGCCTTTCCTTTGGCAGTGTGGGCAGCGATCGCATGCGAGTTGGTGTCACGGGGTTTTCTGAGGATGGCCATCTTTACCATGGTGGCCCTGAGTTCTTATGCTCGGCCAAGCTCCCTCCTGGCCTGCCTTGTTTGGCAGCTAGTCGCTCCGACGCCTCAGGTGACGAAGTACTGGAGCCTCCTGTTGGATGTCGAGGAAAAGGGCAAGCCGTCAAAGACGGGGTTGTACGACAACTCTGTCTTGCTCGACTCCTCTTACCTTCAGCCGTGGGGCCCCGTACTCTTCAAAGAGCTTGCCAAGGGCAGGAAAGACTCGAACCTCTGGGACTTCACCTATGGGGAGCTCAGTTCGGCCATCAATGCGGTCACCAAGGCGCTGGGGCTCGAGATCACATTGTACCAAGCTCGCCACTCCGGCCCCAGCATCGACCGAGCACAGGACATACGCTCGCAGCTCGAGGTTCAGCGTCGGGGGCAGTGGATGTCGCACAAGAGCGTGATCCGCTACGAACGCGGTGCACGGTTGGCCAGCAATTTTCAAAGCCTTCCTTACCGTCTGCAACAACACTGCCTCCTCGCCGAAAGACTGCTAGGGGATGTGATGCTTGGCCGGTGCCCCGCCCCCCGCATGAGCACAGGCGGCGGAACTTAAAGGGCTGCTATGTCATGGATCTTTTCGCTGGGCAGGGGGTTGTTGCTTCGGCCTGCCGACGCCTTGGATTCCGGGCTAAAGAATGGGAGCTTGAGCGGGGCATTGAGTATGATCTCACCCGCTCAAGCGTTGTTCGCCATGTTCTAGCTGAAATTCGCAGTGGCCGGGTCTTAGCGGTTATGATGGCGCCCCCATGTACCAGTTTCTCTGTCGGCAAGGACCGACTTCGTGCCCTTCGCACTTCGGAACGGCCATGGGGAGTCCCCCGTTATCTGCTCACGGAAGAGGATTGGCAAAAAGTGCAGAAGGGCAACGCGTGCTTCCGTGCGGTGGGACGCATCGCCCATTTGTGTTATCGGTTGCACATTCCCTTCTTTATTGAGAACCCGGCGTCTTCCAAATGCTGGAATCTCCCCCCGATCACTCAACTATTGCAATCTTCTCATGTACACCGCATCACGCTGGATTGTTGCCAGTTCGGCACTCGGTGGCTTAGACCTACAACTTTGCTTTGTGGGCGGTGTGACCTGCAGGACCTGCATCGCCTTCAACACCGACGTTGTGCATCAGGTTCGCTATGCAGTCGGACTGGCAAACCTCATTTCCGTCTGACAGGCTCCAACAATCAGGGCGTCCCCTGGACGCAAGTGGCGCAGACTTATCCTACGCTCTTGAGCAGGTGTCTGGCTTTTTCTTTGACGGCGCCGTTCCATCATTGAAGCTGCTTGCGCCGCGTTGTGCCCTCCCGCTCCTCCCAGTCAACACTTTCTGTTTTGGGACGTGGTTTGGGGATTCTTCAATGCAGGCTTTGCGGATTGTCGGAGACAAGCCTTTGCCAGCTTTATCTGTCTCCAGTGCTTCGTGGTGGATCGGAGTACGCTGCACTGTGCGAGATGCAACATGAGAAAAGTTGGCACTGAGGCGTGAGAGTGAGCATCGTTAAATCTGGAAGTGTGTGCACGAGAAGATTGTAGATGTGAGCACAGAGCTGAAAATATCCTGTGCTCAAGTGCCCGCCCTCGCCACCCGGGGGATTCTTCAATGCAGGCTTTGCGGATTGTCGGAGACAAGCCTTTGCCAGCTTTATCTGTCTCCAGTGCTTCGTGGTGGATCGGAGTACGCTGCACTGTGCGAGATGCAACATGAGAAAAGTTGGCACTGAGGCGTGAGAGTGAGCATCGTTAAATCTATATATATATATATGTATGTATGTATATATGTGTATATATGTCTCTACATATGTAGACACATACATATGTAAACATGTATACATGTGTACATGTATATGTGTATATGTGTATATAACTGTATATATGTATCGATGTAACTATATACCTATGTATCTATGTATCTATGTATCCATGTATCTATGTATATATGTATATATGTATGTATGTACCCTCACATACATGCGGCTGTGTGTATGCGGCGTGCATATACATGTATGCCGAGGTAGGAACCAGGAGAGACGACAGCTAGGTAGGTGGCTAGGCAGGCAGACCAGACAGACAAACAAACAGGCAAGGGCCGGGCCGGCAGACAGGCAGACAGGCAGACAGGCAGGCAGGCAGGCAGGGGAGCACCGGTATCCAGAATCTACGCACAGCAGCGTGCGGATGTACATGAATGCACGCACGCACAAACGCACACGCACAGATGCATGCATGCATCATGCATGTATGCATTGTATAATCACAACGGTGTGCAGTTTGCGATGCGGCGCACGATGCCAAGGTCAAACGATGCTTTTGCTCTGTGGTAGTTGTGTTTTGTGCGAGCAAAAGGGGATGTGCGGGAAGGGGTTCCTATAGAGGAGCGGCGATACATCTAGAGGCAAAGGCTGACGGCTGAAGCAAGAAAGCGTAGGCTTGTTTTCATTGGAGTCGAGGCTGGGTCCTTAGGCCTTGGGCTTGGTTCAGGCAAGTACCTACTCCCTACTTGTTCAGGCCAGAAGGGTGCCGGCCACTTCCTTAGTTTAAGCCCTTAGCAACAGAGAGGGAAGAACAAGTCTGCATCGATGGTCCACGCCAGGCAGTCTGCCGGCATCTCGGTCCCTGCTGTGATCCTGATGTGTTCGCGTTTGAGAGCGGCTTCTACAGGTCGTCGTTGCAAGGACAAAAGGGGCCTGTTTGGTATCAGGCTGTGTCGACGGCGAGCTAAAAATACTGCAGGCGGCAGAAGTCCAAACATACCAGGTTGAAAGCCATCTGTCTTGCAACCGAAAGCAGAGAAGCATCTAAGGGTTCGCCGCGAAGGCGTTGCGGGCCTCTCAGGCCTGGTTCTTTGAGAGCTCGCTCCAGACGTGCAAAGGGTAAGTCGAGCTCTGTTGTGAATGCTATTGCTGTGAAAGGTACAGCTGTGACTTGCGTGGTTATCAATATGGATACGGACGGTGTGTTTAAAGCGTCGTTTTCACTTCACTGAGATCATGGCAGCGCAGAGCCAAAAGTCCAAGAGACAAAAGGTTTTACAAGGTTTCGGGTTGCGTGGCTTTCGTGCAGGCGAAGGCTCTGAGTCTTTGGCCGAGGACCTGCCACCTGGAAGCTGGAAGGGTTCGCAGCATTGTGGTTTAAGTGGATTCTTCCCTGATTCTGCATTCTGAGAGTTGGTCTGCGTCGCCTCGCCTCCATCAACAGGCGACCCTGGAATCAAGGATCCGGCATAAAGCTAGCAAAGAGGGTCACTTTCAACGTCGTTTGGTGGTACGTCCCTCATGTATGATGGTCGGGGTACCCTTCATCTTTTCTGTGAGTGCGGACGCTTGGCAAGGCAAGATGTGACCACTGCCAACACCGACGAGAAACAAAGCTTCTGCAAGTGCAGGTGTGGCGGCAGAAAGCACGATGTTTAAGTCGGATGCTACAAACTTCAGGATCATCTGAGCTCTCCAACTCCAAAGCCTTACCACGAAGCAAGCCTTCCCTCAATAGCTTTCTAACGAGGAGGGCGAAGCGACCGCTGGGACGACGACGGAATCTGTTGGGCACCTGGCTGTCACAATAAACCTAATAATTGTGTGTCTGGTTTTGGGCTCGGTATTGAAAAGAGGCAGAGTGTCAGGGTTTCCTGGCCTTGTTTTGTTCGGTTACGGCGACGGTGCTTGGTAGCCGCAGTTTTTGTGGCATCTCAGAGGCCGTGAGTCTCGAAAAGCTGGCACTGGGCCGCAAGAGCACTTATCAAGACTTGGCAACGTGATAGTGTTCCAACAGGAAGTTCTTAGGGGAAAGCGGATTTGACCTCCACCTCGACTCGAAGCCCTGAAGCTCAAAGCTTCTGCTCTCCCAAATGCATCACTGTCCCTCCTCGTATTTTCCCGTTTCCAAGCATCACGTTCCGGATCACTAGAAGGTACTGAAAACCATGAGGTCCCTGAAGACAAGGAGCCCGAATCCCCTTGCGAACTACTGCCAGTGAAAAGGTCACTGCAGAGCAGAAGTCTCTTGCAGACGCTGTGGAGGAAGGGCACAGTCGTCTGGGTTGGAGAATCGAGAAGTTTTCGGTTTTCCAGATTTGCTCGGCCTCAAGCAAGCGGACTTTTTGCATTCTGGGTTCGGCATTCAGGGCTCAGGGTTGGGATTGTTCTGTGCTTGGCCATTCTGAGCTTCTGAGGCGAGTCCTCAACAGTGAATTCCGCAACTAAGAAGCTTTAAACCGCCGAGTGGACACCACAATAAACGCAGGTTGGGCGTCCCCCAAGGGGCTCCACAGCAACTGCCTCTTCTACTTGCCCCCTTGTGGTTGCTTGTGCACGGCATTTTGCGCCAGAACCCAGTACAAGGCTTTCAGAAACACCGACCCCCCAAAACTGCACTCCACACGAAGCCAGCTAATACTTCAGGCTGTGGAGGAGCTCTTTGATGAGGGCGATTCCACAACCACAACCGGCGCCGACAGCATAGAGGTCCAGGGTCCAGGAATCGTTTCGCGTATCTTTGAAGACTGGGTATGGGATTGTAGAGGCCTTCCAGTTGGTGTGTGCCCAAAACTAGTCTGCCCTTTTCAGAGTGCCCTGTTGACGCAGGAATTGGAGAAAACCGAGGCAGCATCCGTCCGGGGCCCAAAATGCCGTGAAGCAGCAACAACAACAGAAAAAGAAGAAGAAGCGTAATGCAAGAACAACACCTATCATCGAAGTGGCAGCAGCAAACAACGATATCTAGCCGAAGGTTGTTGCGTTTCCCAACTCCATGACTTTCGTTCCGTTGACCCCTGCAGCCAAAACCCTACGCTCTGCACTGGCGTATCGAAATGACCATGCAATACCGAACCAGCCTGAACATTTTATTCGAAAGCTGGTCGCACAGGAACTGAGTGGAAGTGACCGCGACAAGATCGCCGCAAACGTGCACGAGCAGATGGAAGACAAGGCCGCCCTGCCTGGTGCAGCACTTCAAGGATTCTTGAGCTTGTGATCATGTCCTTCTTCCCTGCTACTTTTACGTCGTAACTGCACATGACATCAAGCCCCTCAGCTTCTCAGCTTGGACTTCAGTTTAGGACTGGAAAGCTTGAGTTGTCTCTGCATGATCCTCTAGGTCCTACACGTCCCCTCAGAAATTCTCAACTCCTCAAACCCCTCAATTCCTTCAACGCCTCAGAGCTTTGCAAGTGTGAGATTTCCTTGACCCCGAAGGCTTCTAAGCCCTACGAATCCGAAGCCTAAGCCCTCAAAGCCAAGCTTCGGACTTTCATATTTTTGATGGCTTTCCACCTGCCTCACAGGCTCGGGAGGGTCGTGGGGGTGCCCAGATCGAGTCCGGCTTTAAAGGGTCAGGAGGTAGTGATACTTTGGCACCAACAGGGGTGAGTTGCCATCATACAAGCAGCACTTCTTCCAGCAACGCAGAGATTTGACCTTGTAATTTTTGACATGATCAGGTATCCAAGCATTTGAGGGCAGACTGGGCTTTCATTTGATGCCTTGCGGCTGTTGCGATTTAGGTTTTTGCAAGTATGGGTTTCGATGGCGAGTTCGAGTTTGCCGGGTCATTAGTGAGCACGATGTGAGGAGAAGATATCGGGTCCAGGTTCGTTCTTTCGGCATGGGGCCTTTTCGCCCGGCTTCAAAGCCGGTGACGTATATTGTTGTCGGAGTACTGGCTTTCAGGTTAGGCGCCAAGTCTTCGCCTTCCTTTCCTGCGAGAGGATGGTAGTCTTAGGGAAACACGCAGCTCTATTTCAGTGATCGCACATGGAGCAGAATACAGCAAAGCGCAGGCCCTACATGAATTCATGTTGGTTCGTTGTTTCTGCATCATCAGTATGTAGCTTGTGCTGTCCATTCTGGGCTCCTTTCCGCTTCTATTCGTTTCGGTTAGCGTCTCGAAGTTTTTAGATAGCCGCAGTCTGATGAAGTCCCAGGATGAATGTATGTACGGTACATGATGCTGGGGGAGGGACAGAAGATACTGCTGGCACTGGATTGAGGAAGTGAGAGTGCCAGCACAAAACTGACATGGAAAACGACAGGGCCCTCAAAACGATTAATTGGAACTGCTGGCTCTCGAGCCAGCCTCCGGAATGTACTGAATCTAATTGCTTGCAATTGTTGGGAGCCGTTCTCGTCTCTGCCGAGGTGGCTGGCTCCGATGGGACCAGGTTCCGTGAGCTTGTCTGTCGTCCTTTCAGCAGTGGAGCGAAACCAGAAGAGCATGACCGTATCTTGCGTCTGCCAAGCGAAGTCGACACGCGCAGCATCTTTAGCGAATCTGACCTAGACTCTTAGACCACTGGTCTAAGTACAGGTTCGAAATGAGCGACTCCGAGCGGATAAGCCTTATGCCTGACTTCAGCATGGCAACGAAGCAGGATCTGTAACACCACCAAAGAATGCATGTCATGGCAGGCACAATATCCCTGCCTTTTTGCACTACTGTAGAATCGACCTCCGAAGCGGCTTCTCCTGTTGTCGTCGTTTTTGGATTCTGGACTGGCACCCCGACAATCCCATAAGCCCAAAGAGAAGCTGTTAAGACAATCGAGCGGCTGGCAGGTGGACGGCGCGAATAGCAGCAATGCCACCCAGACTGACCTCCTCTGGTCGCACGAGCACAAGGTTGGCACCCGTTGAGGGTTTAGCTCTTGCGGGTGCAACATGTAAAGGTCAGGCCAGAGGCGTCGGGGTGCTGTGTTTTCAACTTTGACGTTCGAACTCACCAGAAGGGTTGGACTGGCAGTGCATGTAGAATGACGCCAGTGACTCTAAGCGCCGGGACCCTTCGCTGAAAGACTGGCGCAGGAGTGTTTGGAGCCTGAGAACATCTGGACCCCGCTGTCTATGCCCGACCAGAGCAGGCCGCCCTTTGAAACCATTCCCTGCACGTTAGAGATAAAGTGGTTACAGCTAAACCTCCTCATGCCATTCCTCATCATAAAAGCCCAGGTGTTCGTTTCCGACGTGCTTCAATTTCGGGCAGGGATGGTAGTGCCGACGACCTACCTGCACTTATCCAGACTTCCTTGCACTTTGACTCCATTTCAAGCTCTCAGCCTGAAGGCGACCAGGCGACCCTCACTGCCTGCCAGGACTGATGAGCCGGACCACATTAGCTGCAGGGCTGGGGACCCGGAGACCCGGCGCCTGCCGTCGGAAGGTCTTAGTTTGATTGAAAGCCTTAAAGCCTTAAAGTCTACAGAAACCTCAGGCGCGCTGCCTGGCCGTCCGGGGCTGTGCACACTGGTCGTACTACCTTGGCGCTGGTAGCTGCTACCTGCAGGCCGATGGTGCACAATCGCTTCAATGCCGGGGCTTTTCAGGTTTTCAGTGGAGGCTTCTGGGCCTCTAGGCGTGCTAAGGCAGGCGCTACCGCGAGCTTGAAGCTGAAAGTCTTGAACCCTGGAGGCCCAGAGACGCGGAACTGCCAGGTCTTGTAATTGAGGTTAGCTCAGATTTCGACAGCTAGAAACTTGGACCGGTCCTGTTTGGGGGTTCCGGCACGAGGGCGGTCTTGGGTGTTGAGTGGTTGAGCCTTTTGGTTCGGAAAGTGTAAAGGCAGCTTCGGATTTCTGTCGAATCTGCGCCAGCATGCCTCGCCGCCCGAGGGTTCGGCTTAGCTCAAGTTTGGAGCCTGATGTCGAAACTGTCGCAGGAAAACCCAATGTTTTCTTGAGCCTGCAAGCAAAGCTGAACAAGTGGAGCGTCCTTCCGAAATGCTCCCCTGTGACAGAATTCGTCAGCGACGAAGGAATCTGGCAAGGCCCCAGCTTTCCATGGGTCTTTTCGACGGAGGGCTCAGAGCTTAGGGCCTGGGATTTCCCACGAACTGTGTGTAAGAAACAAGGTGAGGGCTGGGTTGGGCTGAGGGCTGTTTCGACTTCGTCAAGTTTCTTGGCTGGGCCGTTCCCCGGAGCCCTAAACACTGTGAATGTCGTCAATGCAGCACACTCCCAGGAGTCCAATCGAGAGGGTCAAGGTCCGAAGCTCTCTTGATATTAGACAGGCAGACAGGATACACGTAAAAGCTACGCAGATTTGGAAGAGTGTGTGCAGTGACTAGTGACTAGTGCCTAACTGGCGCGGAACTCTCCTGCTTCAGGTGCTTGTGGCCTTCCTGTCCCGTCGGCATTCCGAAGCAGAGTTGTTTTCCACGCGAAGTTGCCAAATCCTTCCGTGTGCCTAAAGCCTCCAAAGCACATAGACCATCCCAACACATTTTCTTCAAATCAGATTCCAACAAACAGTCACATCCTGCCGTGCCGTGTGGCTCTCAGGGTGCCGTGTCCGGGATCCCCGGATGCCGTGACAAGGACCCCAGCATTCACCTGGGCATGAATGCTCCTCGGTGGCAAGTTGGGGTTGGAGGATTAAGTTCATCTTGGGGTCCATTGGGCCGTGAGATCTTGTGGGTACAAGAAGATAGAGATCAAATGTAGCCTGCTCATGTAAAGTTGTTACCTGATGCCACAACACCCTCCTTGCCTTCCTGTAGCAAAGGAAGAACTAAGACATGTGCAGCAGAGCGCCTCCAGGTGACAAAGGGCCCTTCGAGGCGTGCACCATGAGCTTGGAGTATTCGTTGAGTTTTGGCAGACCCGCACCTGAGATCCTCAACCTCTGCAGACCCAGAGTGCGAACCCTCGGCGGGGTAGAAGCCTTAAAACCCTGACGAGCACTGATCCGTTTCCTGGCTTGCCGAGGCCGGTGGCCAGGCCTGCGCGGGTCTTCTCCAGCTCTGGACTAGAAGTTCTCGCAGCAGGAATGATTCATGCATGATAAGTGCGTAAAGAAGTTGAGCGAACCCTTTCGGATTCGTACGCGTGGAAGTCTCCGAATGCTTACGTTTCTCAGGCCTTTTTTGAAGGCCCCCACCGGCCCAGCAATCCGAGCCTTTCATTGCTATGTGCTCGAGACCCCAAGACTGGAGACCATGACCCGGATGTCTGATTCCGATTTTTTTGCGGAGTCCTGCTACCACCTCAGCGGCTCCTTCATCCCGCTGGACATGCCAGAGCAGAAGAGGACGGATTCCTCGGTGGATTTTTGCATCGATGTTAAGAGCTTCAGTAGTCACAGGCATGAGAATGTTTAGAACCGAGCAGCGGCGCATGTTTGACCAAGCTACCAAGCTCACGAGCATGCAGGTGTCCTGGCGGTTCCATTCATCTGCTCCAAAGGTTATCGTACGCTTGTGGCAGCCTGCACGTCCAACGGGAAGTTGTTAACGATACTGCACCTCGTATCCATCTTCGGGCGGAGAGAAATGTCATTCTCAACCCCCACGGCTGCATAGCCCGGCTTTTCGAAGTTTTGCGCTGCATGGTGGCAGCGGAAGACAAAAGTTGCATTCCGAGCACCAAAGTGTGAAAGCGTGTGACAACTCGAGACGTGAGGGTTTCAAGCAAGAAGTTTGACAGGACGAAGGAGGCCAGCTACGACCTTTGCCAGGCCTTTGTCGAACTTCGAACTTCGGGGTGGTCGTGGGAGGTTGGGAGTGTCGTCTCGGCCTACGTCAATGCACCCTTGAAGTGCTCTCTTCTCAAGCCACGAGGTGCCCTCGGACATATCTCTGGGCCCGGGAATGTAAACGGTCAAGAGACCAAAACTATGCACTCTAAGCCTTGAACTTGCATCTGGTTGAGGGGATTGAATCCTAACATGCATCCCAAACACTGACCGCCCGGCCTCGATACGATACAGGATTGTCACGACCTCCACTGTGTCTTCTCATGCTTGTGGCTGCTTCTGTTCTTGCTTCTATGAATATCTTTACGAGTAGTACTTAGGCAGAGACGGAAACACTTATCGTGATTATCAGCGCGGCCACCAGTATGATTCTCACCACCACCACCCAGCGAGGAGGACGACGGCTGCTGCAACAACCCAGCTACTCCCGCTCCTGCTCTGCTGCTCCTACTGCTGTTGCTGCTGCTGCTGAGGCCGAGGCCGTGGCTAATGCTGTAGATGCCGTGATCGTTGCTGCCATCCTGGACATGTGCATGATGTTGATGATGATGACGATTGTCCTGCTGGTGAGGGGCGATGGTGCTTGTGGTGATGACGACGAGAATGATGACCATGCTGCTGATGTTTCTGGATGGGATCATGGTGTTGTTGGCGACTGTTGCTGATGAGCACCATCGCTGCTGCTGTCGTCAAGTTGACCGAAAGTACCACTCGTTTTAATCGTCGTTCCACTCTTACGAGTACCCTGATCATTGTCATGATTGTGGAGGCGAGGTGTCTGGAGACACACGGCTGCTCGAAGTTCACGCGGGAGCGCCAAGTTCCTCCGGGGCAGGTCGAGACGGTGTAGACTTCAGTGTTCCGGATTTCCCGAACTTAGATTCTGTTTCAGGATTCATGATGTCTTAGACTTTGGGGCTTCAGGTTCAGTGTTCCAAAAGGAGGGGCTCCTTCTGTGATCTGCCGAGAGCAGGGTAAAGTCCGTTGTGGGTTTGGGACCTGGGTAGATTTAGGGGTTATCTTGGCACATGGCGATTTGACTTGCCATCGCGTAGCGTTTCGAGACAATGCAAACCGCTGTCTGTTTTTGCGGATCCGCACCCCAGCGATGCAATGCAGAGCTCAGGTACTTCATCATGGACCAGGGCTGCCATTTGCAGGACCGGGGATTGCAATGGAGACCTTTTGCAGTGAGTGTCCTTTGACAGCGAAGTTGTGGTTGAAGAGAGCAGGCACAAAGGTAAATCAATTGGATGCAGGTGTCGGGATTCATCAGCTAGTTTGATTTGCAGGACCCTTCATGTATGTCGTCCAATCCTGGGGCTCTGAACTTCATAGCCCTTTCCGAGAAATGTTTTGCCAACACACGATGCTTGAAGGAGCTTTTCTTGAGATGTATGGCCCATGCCCATTTCTATCTGCACGCTGGCTCAGGAGAACTCTTCTCATCTGGCCCGGTGACTTAGACGAGATCTGCGGTGCTGCATTGATTCCATTCTACTTCCACTAGCTTAAGACTTTCTGGGTTTTTGGCGGGGAGTTGGTGGTGAAGTGCCAGCAGTCTGCGGAGGTGGCTGCTGTTCCATTAAATGTCCTTTAGTCGAGGGTCGGCATTTAGGTCCTGTGGTCGTTCTCTCTGCACCCTCTCCTTCTTCATGCACCTGTGACCTAGTGTGGACAATATTTCATAGCGCCAGCTGTGGTGTGCTTGCAATCATTTGCAGCCGAGTCGCATGCATGGATTTGTGCATGCAGGTCCGTGGCATAGCAGCTTCAAGTTGCAATGATGGTTGAGTCTTTGCCAACATCTACCTGCCTGTACTGGTTCTTACGATTGTGCATCTCCAAATATCTTGACAGAAGCCGAGCACCCTACACTGCAGCGGGAAGGTTCTCGAGAACTAGTCAGCCTCCTGTCGCTCCAGTCGTCGCTGCAAGGTATAGCCATGAGCTGTCATTGCTGTATTAATCATGTAACCTGCATGGAGCTGTTCTTATGGCAAAACGGAGACAGAGTCGTTCTCTTGAGCTTTGACGACTCGTGAAACTCACTTCGTCCCGGTGAAGGCATACATACCGGAACCCATTCATGGGTTTTCAGGTGTTTCTTCCTGGCACCATCGCTGGCGCCGCGTCGTGTCCTGCCGAGGATAAGGCAGTCCTCGATCCGCGAAACAGTCCTCAACTGATGATTGATGCCAGTTCTTCTAGCGCCCTTTTCGTCTCACAACTACCCCATCAAACACAGCTGAAGGACATGAAGCCGTGCGATAGCACCACAAGGACGCACAGCACATCAAATCGCTGGGCCCCACTTATCTGGGTGCACAGTGTTCTCTGAAACATGTTTTGCTGGACCAGTGACGACGACCTTTACTACAAAAACTCTTACTCGTAGCAGTAGCAGTAGTTAGCAGCAGCAGCAGCAGCAGCAGCAGTGCTTCTCCCGCTGCAGCTGCTAACACTGTGGCCAGCCACTCCTACCAGTAGGGAGTGCGACTTCGTCACAGACATCTCCAACATCACTGGTTCAATAGTGAATGGTACAAGACACAGCATGAATACAAGATCAGAGCGCGGGTGAGAGCAAGAACAAGCAGCAACCTTGGACAAATGGCAACAGCAATGCAACAACATCAACAACAGGAGCAGCAACCCGAACAATGTGGATAAGGTTACCTCCAGTAGAGACGATAATCATGAACAGTAATTATAGCGAGAAGCTACCTCGAATGCGAGCTTGAACAGTAATGAAGATAATAGTTGCAATGGTCGTTTCATGTCCCTGTATGACAACAAAACATGCCCGTAAAACACTGGGCTTTCGCGAGTAGCAAGAACAGATGATAAGTGCAACTTGAACAGCAATCCTGATAATGCTAACAAGAGTATAAGCCCCGCGGATTTTGCTTACAACAGTTTTTCGCGATATTCACGACAATGATGAGCTGGCACCAGGCAAAATTCGATGCTTACCTGAAGCAGCTGCCGATGATGCGGCATCGGGCCCAGTTGGGTGCAACATCATTTACTAGCATAAGCACTGCTTCCAAGACTGCAGTTGAACTACTGTGGGGACTAGCGCTCGTAATCGGACTACCTGCAGTAGTGCTCGTATCACTACTACCACAGTGCTACTACTACCACCACCGCCACTACTACGACGACTACTACTACGACGACGACTACTACTACTTCTATCGCTACTTCCTACCCCTACTACTACTACGACTACCCCTACTACTACTACTACTACCACCACCACGACGACTGCTGCTGCTACTACTACACTACTACCTCATGCTACTGCTACTACTACTTCTTCTACTACCACTACTACTACGTTAATAGTAATACTACTGCTTCAATAGTAATACTAATACCAAATGCTAAATTCGGATACGGATACAGGTACTGACGCTATTACCAACTACTACCAATACTGCCACTAATAATGCGGATACACATAATAATACTAATGCTATTGCTAGTAGTAGTGCTAATACTAATGCTGATGCAAATACTGATCTTCACTACGCTGCAGACGAACTGCCACTCCCGCCTCCGCTGCGACTGCCACCGCCACTCCCACGGTCTTTGCCACTCCCAATCCCACAATCCCACAATCCAACTGTCTTGCATCCCATGATACCACTATCCCAGTATCCCACAATCCTACTATACCACTACCACTACCGCGATTGCGATTGCGACCGTGACCACTGCCAATGCCATTGCTATTTCCACACTGTTTTTCCCATGATACCGAGAAGGTGGAGCTAACGTTTAGCTTTACAGCTGCATGCGCACCGAACCCGGTTGGCCTCCCTCGCATGCCTCTGTAGGCTAAGCCCACAACTACTGCCACCACCTATACTGCCACTACCACTGCCACTACTGCTTCGACTGCTGTTCCTGCTACACCTCCTACTGTCACTGCCTACTGCCACTGCTACTGCCAATGCCACGGCTATAGCTTCTGCTGCTACTACTGCTGCTGCTGCTACTACTACTACTACTACTACTACTTCTACTACTACTACTACTACGACGGCTACGGTTACCGGTTACCGTTATCACTACAGCTCCGGCTACTACTTTGGGTTACCGCTTCAGCGGCAGGGGACATACATGTGTGCCGCACCGAAGCCAAAGTAGCTTCACTGCAGGGCATTGGAGTCGTCCGAGCCTCCTTGCGAGGCACCGGAGACTTGGGTTTGGGGGCTTGGCGGGGGGGGGGTGTTTGGGATTTGGCCGGGCCGGTGCTTCCGTGTCTTCGTGTTGAGGAGTTTTCAAGTATTTCGGTGTCGAAGTCTATCCGAGGGTTGCTGCCAGCCCGACAAGCGCAAAGGGTGAGGATTGTGCCTGCACCTGCCATCCAAGCCGATTCTAACCTCCGGGGTCGGTCACTGCAGGACTATTCTCTGGCTACCGTCTCTTGACCCATACCTTTCTGGGCTGAAGAACTGCTGCTCTGTCATCACTGCCACTTCACGTTCGCCCTGCGTTTCAACCCTCAAGCCCAGTTCCCCGAAGTTCACACCTCAGTGAAGGACTCTTGGGTGAGCTTCATTCCCTTCGACCTTCCCGGGGATCTCGACCATCCCGGTGACCTTGCGAAGGACAAGGAGGCTTTTACCGAAGAGTTCGGGGTTCGGGATTCTTGTCGTGGTTGAGCGGTTTTGGGTTCCGACGATTACGGTTCATAGTTGGTGGTTTAAGAGACTCCTCTGCTTTCGTCGAGAACTCCATCCTGAGCACATCATAATTGCTTGTTGCCAAACTGTTGCTGTGCTTGCGTAATCATGCTTCCTTTTTTGCCTTGGTGTTTAGCCCATCTCATGGCCGTTTCCGAGCTTGCAGTTTTTGCACCGAAACCCGACGAGAAAGATCCGACCTGGCAGTGAGGAGGCTTTTTAATGCAGCTCCTGTTAGGGTTACGTCCCGGCTGCCAAGTTTTTTGCAAAAGGCCAGGCGGCAAAGCGTATGGGTTGCACACGGCTGTAGTGCAGATTTTGCTTCTCCCAGCCCCTGCTTTTTGTGGTTTGCGCGTTGCTGTAGAAGCTAGCAGCTGGTAGAAGAATCTTGCCCTTGTCTGATCCGTTTCAGAAACTTCATCGCGGCAACGATAGACTTTACTATCAAATGAAGAAGAAACAAGACTCTGGAAGACCAAGAACTGAAGAGAACAGTTTCTTGAGTTTCTTCTTGTCTCCGAGGACTGTGCAAAGTCATAGCTTGTACTTTTCGATTTTGCAACTTGTCCACTGCAAGCTTCCCTGTTTTCTATCTGTTTCGCAGGAGCTGAGCACCAAACCGCAAAGCCCATATATCCTACTTGTGCTTCCCTGTCGAAGGTCTGTCAGGGTTAGTTCAGCAAGCTTCAACATGGTCCAGAACAAAACTCAGACCAGTCTTATCCACAAGACACCTCGTACCGTGGTACAGGGTCCCGTCTAAAGTAGGGATTCGGCGTAGTCCAATGTAGCCGGTTTGGATATGTGAGCAAGCTGCAGACATGCTGATTGTTGTTGGCTCAGTGTTCAGAGATACACGCTCTTCTCCAAAAGCGTTTGGAGTAAGATGGGTTAGTGGTTAAGACGCTGAGGTTGTCAAGGTCCTTCAGGAACATAGTTGGAAGGATGAGGATGGTTCGGTTTTACAGCGGTCGTTGAATGCAGCTCTGCACCCCAATTGCAGAGGCAGTCCTTGTGGTTTGCTTGTGGCCACGGATCTTCTGCGCTCGTGCTTGGTCCGAAATTGTTGAACTGTTGTGGGTGCCCTGGACCCTCCTGAAAGTCAGACCCGATACTCCTGCCCACTCAGCTGAGCAGGTCAAATGCGAGGCCCTGTATGATCACAGCGATTCGCCCCACATCTGCAAGCACAGCTCCCAGGCACGGGCGGGGAATGTCGATTGCTCACAGCCGCAGCCGGAACCTGCCCAAGTTCAACACCTGACACTAAGTCTTGTGCACCCTTGCCCAGCTTTTTAGGGCGAAGGGTTTGGAGCATTTGGCTTTAGGCCAGGTTGAAGGATCAAGAGCTTCAGGTTCTTCAAGCCATTTAAGGAGTGTCACAGGAAGCCCTTGCAACTCAGGGTCAGGGTTCAGGCCAGTGTAATATTCATTAGTTTTTCAGCTTCTTGCATAAATTGGAGAATTTCTTGTCTGTACTCCGCTTTCCCAGAGCACGCACCGTGAAAGTGTTGAACAGGTGCGTGTCCGATGTCCGAAGCTGTGAGCGTCTCAGGTTGTATGCTGTGCACGGGGTGGTCCAGAGTGAGATGGCAGCCCGGGTCCCGAGGTGCGGCGAGTGCGGCATCGAGAAAGATGCAGGAGGCCTCTCCGTAGCGAGCCGCAATCTGATGCTGTGCATCCCCTTCCCAAAGCCAACGAAGCCTGGAATTTTCTTCCTTCGTGTGGCCTGCAGGTTGCGTGGATCTTCAGGCAGACGAGCCCTTGCCTTAGTTCGGGGTGCTTTCGCAATGGAGGCTGCGTTGAGGGTTTCACAGTATGTCATGTCTACAGAAGTGGAGGCATTCTAGGGAGCACTCAGGCATCCGCTCTTCCTGCTGGACAACCATACACTGGGCTGTGCATCCGTGGGGTGCGCATGCCGCAAGACACCGGTTCGGCGCAATTGGGCTCAGGGGTCTCGGTAATGGAGATCATGCTGTTCGGTCATGGGATCTCGAGCTTTTCGGGTTCCCGTCGGCTTTGTGTGAGTCGGGACAACTGTTTGGAGGCTGTACATGCAACGACGCATTCTCTGCTAGCTTCGGTTTCATCGAATCGAAAGCCTTCGGCCCGATCCCTTGTACCTGAATCATCCCGCAAGGCACAGGCTGGAAACTCTTCAAGCTCTGTTAAACCCACAGCTTTGGTCCAAGATCCAAGTTCCCCAACACAAGTCGTTGCGTGGGTTCCGCGATCTGAGGTTTAGAGCTGTTCTGGTGAGTTGAGGGTGTCGGGGTGTTTAAAGTTCAGGCACTTAACAGTGAGGAGTCACTTTCCGACTTTTAAAGTGGAATGCACATCCAGGGTAAAGCTTAGGGTGAGAGGTTTCATTCGTCATCTTGCCTCACCTGTAAAACACTTCAATTGGCAGAAGCCAACGAGAAACAAGATCTCAAAGTTAGGCAGAAGGCCCGAGGTCTGCCATGGCTCTGCCATATTGACCCAGATGCTGCACTAAAGACTGTTGACCTTCAGGTCCACAAGTTTCAAAGCGAGCCTGAAACCGCTGCACCTTACGGGACTCCGAACAAGAAGTCCTAGCACAGCTTCTATCCACTCGCGAACCGGAGGTACGCCTGCAACCACGATGAAGAAGTCACCCAGAAGTGCAAGTACACATGTGGAAAGTGCGGCACCTACTCTTTCAGATCAGCAGTACATGTGGTGTACTTGTTGTTCCGTCTCTACAGCTTCGCCCTCAATCTCCAGTTGGGGTCTGTGGCTTCGGCCTGAAGAGTGGTAGACGATATGGTGAGATGAATGGGATGCCTGTCCCGAGGTGCACCACGACGACCACGACAGTCGCCAAGTCGGGAGCCCCAAAGAACGGTCCGCCACACACAAACGTAAGAACCCCTATGGCCCCGAGGTCACAACATGCCAAACAAGCCACACTCCTCATCTCCGTCTGGGAAATCGTTGGCATGAAGAACTCAATCCCCGCCAAGGCCGGAGGTGGATCATCTCGCCAAGGCCCACGACCAGGGCGGCCAGGGTCTATGGAGTGTTAATGGGTTTGGAGTACCGCCAGGTGCGGATTTGGGGGTTACTGTAGCAGGCTAACTGTCAGCATAAAGCTGGCGGTACGATCCCTGCCAGCGAATCCGTGCAAAGATATTCATGCAGGAACCCTACGCGAGTATGCGCTTCCAGAGACGGATTGTCGGGGGGTCTGATCTTCAGGATCCGAATTGAAACTCCTGCAGGTCATCGCAATCTAATAGGGATGCCAAAATTGCTTCTTGGATTCTGCGCTTCGTGAAATCTGACCCATGCCCTCCATTTTCTGAGCAAAGCGCTCGAGCTCTACAACAGGTCACCTCTTGCGGACGTCGCCGCTCGATGGGCTACTGCTTCACCAGGTCCCACGCAGCGGCGGATCTGTGACTCTTGCATGTAAGCTTCGGTGGGTTTTGGCTGCTGACATCGCTCAAGAAGTGAGGCTTTGTGATTTGGATTTAGATCTTTGTTTTTCTTATCCCCGTGCTACTTTGCTTGTCAATCGAGGCAGTCTCTGTTCTGTTCGGATTCAGGCTCCCGAGCTTTAGCGTTTTGTGTTCAAAGGTCTTCCTTGCACATAGCGAGGCATGTGAAACATCAAAATCATGCTGGAATCTTGCTCAGGATTGTGTCCCTGTTTCTTCTTTTTGTGTTTGGGTTCATTCCAGATTCCTCTGACATAATGAGTTTCTAGTGAATTAAGCTCCTTCATAGTGGGTCCCACGAGACGAAAAACAGAAGGCCGCACCAGCTGATTCTGATTGTCGTTGCGATTTGGAGAACCTGGAAATATGTGGCAAAGGGTTCCCGTTTTGAGGGGAGAGTGGTCACTTTGTGCGGAGTGTTGGGATGTGATTCTTCAGCACCAGATGCGGCTTCCATGGAGATCGTAAGGGGAAGCTCTAGGCTCTGTTATCTGCATGGCCAAGAAGAAAACAAGGCAAGGAAGAGCAAGCCTCTGCCGACCTTCAATCCCTGGGAGGCGGCGGCGACTCTTCTAAGCCCGTGGGCAGATAATGTGTGCAGTTTGGGGTCCGCGGGCCTGGGCTTTGACTCCGAAGAAGTCTTGGTTCTCCGCCTACGGATCTCAACTGCTTGGGCTCAGGGTTCGCGTTACCGGACAGCCCTGCTTTGATCTTCCTCGTCGGATCCACTCTGAAGTTTTGATCTTATCCTCAGAGATATAGATGCTTGCTGCGCTCGGCTAGAGCCATCGACGTGCGCACCGTGCGCCCAGACCGTCGGTTCCTGCGACAAAAGAAGCGCAAAGATGGCTCTAGCGACTCTGGTTCGTCTTGAACCCTAAGCTGCTTGCACATTGCGCATGAACGGATTTCCAACTAGCATTCCGTACTAGGTGAGTGCTGGAGGGCGATGCCTCACTCTGCCTCAGCAGTGTCGTTGAAACCAGCCTTCGTGTTTTGTATATGCATCTGCTGCTGGAAGATCTGTAGCTGTCTCTGGCTGCACGCAATTCTGTGACTAGTGATCGTGAGCAATGCTGACGGTGGTGACAGCGAGGATGTCGGTGCGGCTCCTGATGATGATTGACAGCAGTGATGAGGATGATGGCGTGGTGATGCCAGCGAAGACAGCCATGCGGCCATTGCTGACAATCCCGACGATGCCAATGATGCTTGTCACTGCGACAAGATGACGTATGAGATAACGAGCATGAGCATCAGTGCGATGATGATGATGATGAGGATGACAGTGATGATGGTGATCATGATGATACTGCTGTTGGTGATGGTGGCGATGCCGAGGATGATGATGATGATGATGATGATGACGATGTGATGATGGTGGTGATGATGATGATTTCTTGTTGTGGTGGTTGTTGTTGATGACAACCGCGACGCCGACGGAAAGTATGGTGATGGTGGACTGGTAGATGGCTCAATGCAACCAAACGCACGGGCAACCCTGTCAAAATGTTCTCTGGGCTCGAAGAGGGCACACTTGAGATTGGTAGAGTCGCTGCCTCCTCTCCCTGCGCCGGAGATGGGGAGCCCCTCAGAGGCCCGTTCTTTGGGGCTCGTGGGGCTGAGAGTTCAGACAAGAGTCCAGCGGGCACCAGGGGCAACAGGAATGAGAGGGTGTATGCGTGGCAAATCTGCAGCTGGAGCATTGAGCTTTGGGGCATATCTTGTGATGCTGCACCATAGCCTGCACTGTGAGTGACGATGTGAGTGTCCTGACCTCACTTCATGTGTGGGATTTCTGGCCTGCTAATCTCTCCGATGAGAATAAAACTTCCTGCTTTGGCTTCTGCTGCAAGGAGTTCTGTTCAGGGTGATGGTCTTCCTCACCTCACACAGACACGCCCCGCGGTTCTCAGCGAACTGAGGCGAAGAGCCTCTTTGACAGCTTCAAGGCAGGGTGCCAGCGCGTTTTCCGGCCTTCCGGTTCGAGAGCCTGCTCTTTGGGGGTCTTTGGAGGATTTTGCTCCTCCTGTTTCCGGCATGCGTCGTTTGGCAGCCTGCCTGACAAAATCTGTCATGATCATGCAGGCATTCTTTTAGGCATTGTCAGCTGTCAATCGGTGGGCCATAAAGACTTGTAACGTGTATCAACTCGCTGTCCCGATGAGCCTGGCGGTTGCATCTGCCAACGGCCTGCAGCCCTTGCCATGTTTGCTTTGAATACCCGGGGAAACCGACATTATAAGCCAGCAGGGAGCCGGCTGCCGAAAGCTTGCGCTCGGTATTTGCATGCTGCGCTTAAGATGAAGCACCAGCTCTTTCTATCCCTCTGTTCAATCACAAACACATCTTGAACCTCTCAGTCCTGATGTGTTGCCGTCTGTTGTTTACCTCTGCGCCCCGCTCAGCAGCATGAACTAGCCTTTCCTGTTTCGGCGGTACAGGTATGATTTGATTTTATCCTACTACTACACATACCAATCTGCTCCCTGTCCGAGCATGCGGAAGATCCGATATCCCGGCAATGCACACCCCTTGGACAGATCAGGCCATCCACTTTCTTCTGCTGTTTGGTCATCTCATGGCCTACTCATGGTAGTGGATCGCTGTCGTAGTCTTGTGTTGTCGTTTCGCCGTCGTGGCAGGAGATGAGTTTCAATACGAAGTGTTCAAGAATGGTCTCTCATACAACAGCCTGTAAGAGCGAACGGTGCCCTGCCAAAATACCAGGCAAACAGCCATGGTTCTACGAGTGGATTCGATCCCACATCTGGCCACAATTCCCAACCCACCCGCCTTCACTCGCGTCCGTCAACCGTCAATACGATTGTCCGGAGCTCAATCCTTGCGGAGTTGGTTTCGCCCGCACACGAGCCATTCCCATGACTGCAACACGCTCAGACACTCAACCGCTGTATAGGATTTCCCAGCCCAAGACACCACACATGCCCCAAACATGCCCCACACCCTCCCAAGACATCCCTTGAAGCCTCCCACAGCCAACGGGAGGCGAAGTTCGAAGCCGAGCCCTGCGACCTCGCCAAGTGCGAGGCCTGCAGATTTCTTGTGCTTTAGGCTTTTGTTTGAAGTTTTTCCGATGTTGTGGACAGTTTGAGAGTGCTTGCTCGGGTTCGAGGCCTTGAGACTTGTGTGGAGATAGGCTTCCAGAAGGGATGTTTCCCTCTCAGGAGCTCCTGGGGCAGCTGAAGCTGCTCTTGTTCTCAGGCCGGGGCTTCAGCGTCGGTGCTCTTCCGTAAGTTTAGGACTATTCGGCTCCGGGCAGCCGTGCCGCATTGCTGCCCTCGATGATCCCAAAGATCGTTCACCGGGGTCTACAGCATAATCGTGACAGCTGCACGCCCGAAAATTGCTCGGGAACGGCGATGATGATTACCTCCCTCTCATCTTTTTGAACTTCGCTGAGCTTGAAATGACAACAAGCTGTTTGGAAGTCTACCTCAGCTGCGCCACTTCCTGATATGGGGTTTTCAGCCGCCATGGGAAAACGCCCTGGGCCGAGGCTCAGCAGCAGTTCTTTCTGGCACCGGAGGTGGTGCCGACTTCGTCAAGGTGGCCCGACGGCCACAAATCCTGAAATGCAACTTGTAGCCATTGCAGCCATTCTGTTCTGCACCATTGGACCATTGCTTTTCCAAGGCTTGGGGCTGCAAAGCTGTTTGATTCGGGTTGCCGCTTCAACTATGACGTAAAGGGTCCAGGCCAGTACTGGTTTCGCCGCGACGACGGCGCTCACCTTTTGTGAGAACGAGTGCCAGTGTCATCGCGATTGGTATTATCATCCTTTTCGCGGCTTCTAGCGACTGCTGTGATCATCGTAGCTTGTCTGGACTGCGATTCAGTGTATCTGTATAATTGTCCGATGCTTGCTAAGCATGCTTTCTTTTCGCTATCGGAGTCTGCAGGAGCAGCTCCTCGTAAGGGAAACCTTGGAGCTCGCATGCGCCGGCCCGAGAGGGGGCGGTGTGTTTGAGTTGCCAGGAAGTAAATTTCGTGGTGCCGTAGCTCCGACATTATCAGAAGGCCAGTTTGAGAACCGAGGCTTTTTGTCAATTCGCCTGCGAGATCTTGCCGGTTTCGAGCGGCTCCTTCGGCCGCAAAGCTGAGGCTACCCCTGCCACACCGTATTAGCAGAGGCAGAGCTTAGCGCGAAACAGCATGTATCTAGTCGATAGTCGAGGCCTTGAAGTGTCAAATCGTGAACGGTACCGACGTTGAAGACTTTAGTAATCGAGGATTTGCTGCCGGGACACCAGGCCTCTCTGGGTGCTCTTTGAGGCTTCGTCAACAAGTGGAGTTCATCTCACATCGTGGATGGCCTGTGCTGGCTGTCACGTGGCAGAGCGGCCCGCCCTGCCAAGGCATGTGTCGCAGCTGAAGATGTTCTATGATAGACAGCAGGACCCATGGGGCCGACACTCCTCTTCAAAGTTTGCCCAGAGTGCTGGAGATGGGATGATTGGACTACATTAGAGCGACCTTCGGTTTCCTAAAAAAGGGAGGAACGGCTAAGGACCCTCTGAACTCCAACGGTCCTCGACTAGACTTCCAGCTACAAAATCCAAGTCTCCAGCCACCCTGAGAAATGTGGCCAGCGCATGCCCTGGACTTCCAGGAGCT